GAAGGGTTGCTCTGCATTAGATGTCAAATAGGGCTCATCTAAATATTATAGCAACTGACTTGATGCAGTTCCCTCCTACATGAATGGGCGAAGTTGCTTTCTTCTACTTTTCCCTGTGCACTGTGTAGAAAGGCAGTGTGGGGAGTTATACACTGGCACATTTTAGCTGGAGTGGACAAAACAGAGGCTGTCATACTGCAGCCATCTATGACTGCTTTCTTAATTGTGACAAGAAGGATTTTCTAGGAGAAATAAGACTTTCCAAGCTTCATTTCCTGTTACTTCTTGAAATCACATCCAGGTTGGCTGCTGGAAAATAGTCTGACAGATCACAGACTTTGATTCCTAGCAGTGGCCAGATCCTTGCTCCAGCGGGAGGAGAGGCTGACCGCGTGGCAGTATACCTGGGGTCACCATTGATCCACAGCCTGTACCATGGTTCTTCCTGAAGGTTAGCTTTTTACCTTGGATTTCTCAGTGTGCATCCTCTGTGTCCTAGTTGGAGCTGGAGCATTATAATGAAGGTCTCCATGAAAATGTAGGCTGGAGTCTGACTATGTATGTCCCTTCCCTTTTCCTTCTTCTGAAAAGCTCGGAGACTTGAGGTTTGGTTTGAAGCAGCTTGAATCAACAGGACACTGGGGTCTTGCTGCATTCCTACTTTGTAGGGCTTGTCTGTGCTCACTGTGTTTTGCCAGTGTTGCATGCAGGAGCTGGCAGCAAACATTGGAGACAGTGAAGATCTGATTTTTTAAATCAGTGATTTCTTATTTTTCCTCTGATGATATTTTCCAAGTGTAATATCACAGTGGAGGCTGGTGAATTAATCACAGGACAAAATGGACAAATCCACTGAGAGATGTCAAAGCTCTTGGTTTGGTGTAGTCATGTTGACTGAAATTGGGTGAAAAGCAAGATCCCCTGTTCTGCTTTTAGGCAAACATCTGGTGAAGCACAGAAAATAAAGGAAGGAGGAAACACAAAAAGTTACTGAAGCAGAAAGGCAGATGTCAGACAGGGTTTAATATGATTAAAATTAATTTCATTTTCTAGGTGTTGTTTTTAAACATTTGTAGGATGTTACAAAGTGCCTATTATCTGCTGAGCAGTGGAAGAAGGAAATATTTTGCATAATTATGCAATTGAACAGCATTATTACCCTCATAATTTAGAATGGATGCTTCATCAGGCAGTTAGTCCACTTTCTATCCATAATACAAGTCCTGATGAGGCCATCTTGAAATGGAGTTCCTTTTTTTCCTTTTTAAAAAGGTCTGTCCCCATGAGGTGGGGGCAGATTAATGACTGCTGGGAATCAAAGTAGAGTCTTTAAAATAGTGAAGCTACTCTGAGATGCACCACCTGAACTTATGTCTCCAAAGTGAACTTTTTAGATTTATTTCAGTCTTGGAATGAATCCTGCTCACTGTGAACTCTAGCTAAATGCACCTGTACTTCTGGAATGTTCAATGTTGGCGTAGATGTGAACATCACTTCTTCCCATACCAGAACTTGAGGAACGTGACTTCCCAAAGCCACGTGTGTTCCCAGACTGTGCCCATGCTTACTGAGCATGCAGTCACAGCCAGTTCTCATGAGTGACACATCCTTAAACTGGCAGTTGTACAAGTTGCTTGCTTGGCTGTGCAGAAAATGGATGAGAAACAAAATAAGGTGCTGAAAGTGGGAAACACTTCACTTCCGTAAAGCTGTGACCTAAATGAGGGAGTCTTTTTGCCTATCCATGAGTATATGGCAAAATAAGACTTACGGATATGTGTCACTTGTGGTGACATGAGCACAAGAAAAATGTCCTATTTTGGTTGCAGGCAAATTCTTTCCCTTCCATTTCATTAGCTAATTAGAGCATTCCTTTAACAAAGCCCTTTTCTGTGGATGCTCAATGCAGTCTTAGAGAATCAAGGTCTGCTCAGCCTGATCCTGCAGTGCCTTTCACATGTGACTCGTGTTCATGTCATTGGGTGCTCTGCACATTGGCGAGTCACTGGGTTGGACCCTGGGAATGTTCAGGGTCTCCAGAAATAGTTCCAGATTCATGTTTTTGGTATATCACTTAATTGGAGCTAACGGTATGGTTGTAAGAAAGCAAATGATAGATGAACAATTATGGACTGATGAGCTTAATCCATTTATGTCCTTTCTAGCCATAAAATACTATCTTTTCTCCTTGCCCTATTTTGAGAGATCAAGACAACATACAGGTAAGAGATGTCCTTTGTGCATTTCAGGCAGTGGAGAAGATGTTTGCAGTGCCAAATGGATTTTACTGGCAGACAGTTCAAACTGATGACAAATACTTCCCTACTAGCAGCAACATTAAGACTTGCAGAGATACAGACACCAAGGTAAAAGAAAAACCAACCCAAGCCACTCCTTTCTGACTTATGGGAAGACTTATGTGGGAAGATGAGAGATGATTAAGTGGCCTGAAATATTTTAATCTTGAGGTTTGGTACAAATACTGATCTTGAAGTATTTCTCACTCAGACCTAAATATATCAGATGAGTATTTTGTGTCATCAGTATTGATGTGCTGATTGCTCTGAGCCACAGAAGATTAAACTATGAAATGAGGAGGTTGAAGAAATTGCTACCAGCTAGGGTGCAAATCAGTAACGGGAGACAGAATTTTGATAGCCTAAACCCACTTGACTGTAAGCCAATATATAACACAACTTACCTAAAACTTGTGCTCAGAAATGTTCAAAAAAACTGATTCTGAAGCTTCTGGTACCACCTGACCTATAGTAACTGTGTGTATTCTATGAACAAGTAGGATGCAGTTCTACTTGGTTTACCACAGAAGAGGTTAGGATAACTTAGGTCATATTTAGGAGTACATCCCAAAATGCACTGGACCTCCAACCACAATAACTTGTTAACTGTAGTAACTTACCTTTCTTAGCTCTTGTGCAACACCAAACAGCATGTTTGATCTTTCCTGTTAGTGTTGATTCAGGAAGATGCACATACATGAAGTTCCCTCTCAACACTTAACAGTTCATGCCTGAGCCATTGCTGAGATGTACCAGGCTTGCTCCTGGAAGGTGCTTGAGGTCCACATATAAGAGCTGAGGATACCTTGTGCACAGCTGGAAAATGCCTTATGCCTTTGTTACAGTTCCTCAATGTGCCTCAGGAGTGCTGAAGTGGGTCTGTACAGGCCTTTCACAGCAAGGGCAGGGTGCTCTGTAAGGGAAGGCTATCTGGGAGCAGAGAGTGCAGTCCCATAGTATCTAAGCAAGAAAAACAGAGCAGGTCCAGCAGCTGTAACCAGGCTTAGCCAAAGAGTCCACAGTGACAAGCTCAAACCAGAAAGCCTGTGGGTTAGGGTAACAGCCAGAATTAGTGACCTGTGACACAAGAAGGATGTGGAGCTATTGGAGCGAGTCCAGAGGAGGCCATGGAGATGCTGCAAGGGCTGAAGCAGCTCTGCTCTGGAGCCAGGCTGAGAGAGCTGGGCTGGTTCAGCCTGAAGAAGATTCCAGGGAGACCTTAGAGCAGCTCCCAGTGCCTACAGGGGCTACGAGAAACCTGGGGAGGACTTTGGACAAGGGCCTGTAGGGACAGGACAAGGGGCAATGGCTTCAACCTGACAGAGGGGAGACTGAGATGAGCTCTTAGGCAGAAGTTCTTCCCTGTGAGGGTGCTGAGGCGCTGGCACAGGGTGCCCAGAGAAGCTGTGGCTGCCCCATCCCTGGCAGTGTTCAAGGCCAGGTTGGATGGGGCTTGGAGCAGCCTGGTCTAGTGGAAGGTGTCCCTGCCTGTGGCAGGGGGTTGGAACTGGATGAGCTTTAAGGTTCCTTCAACCCAAACCAGCCTGTGATCCTATGAGACTGGGCCAAGGCATACCTGCAGCAAAGCTCAGCAGAGGCCAAAGGCAAGTACCTGATGCCAAAGCAGAGGCAGCCGGGCTGGTGCTGAAACTGTGCAGTGCTGGAGAGCTGCATTAGCAGAGCTGGCCCTAAGCCCAGGCAGCCGAGCCCCAGGGACTCAAAGCAGCCACAGAAAAATTTGTCCTTGCTGGCTGTTGAATATTGGGTTAATAGCAGGAGAGCTTGAGCTAGACAAACATAAAGAAATAGAGCTTTTATTCCTAATTAGACCACTTTCTTATGATTCAAATAAATTTATATCCTCATTTATCATGATTCTATAAGCCTTATAACGTGATTATGGGGGAGTAGCATTTCATTTAAAGTGTCCAATGGTGATGAATTCATTTGGCATTCACCACAGCCATAAAGCTTGCTGCTGGGGAGAGCGTTGAGTTGTCTTCTATCTGGGGGACCATGCACATGTTTGAAGCCATTACAATCACACTTGTCTGATCTACAGCTGGACAATTTATTATCCATAGCACCACACAACTTCCTGTCATAAGGAGTTTGCTTCTTGAAAGAATATTTCTTCTCATGAAAAAGTAATAATAATTTGCTTCCTTTTGGGTATAGACATTCAGTCTGTTTTGGTGTATGTTTTCCTGCAGACCAGGATGGACTGAATTGCATTGGTCTGGTAAAGAAGATTTCAAAATATAAATGTGGTACAGAACCAGTGATGTGTCTGCCTTTTAATTTTGTATTTTTAAATGTTGGTTTTGACATTTTTATGTAGGTATAAAGAAACAACCAGTTGGTCTATTATTATTTAACTGTATTTCTGTATTATGTGAAGTTTGACAGCAGGAGGGCTGCGCTTCAGGCTCTGCCCCAGAGAACTTGCAGTTTTTTTACTAGTAGGTTTATGTGACAAAAGGCACAGTCATATCAGCAGAAATAGTCAATCATAAGTATCATAACTATCTGTAATTCAGTCTGAAGCTGAATTGCGTGTGAACATAAAAGAAAGCCTCTTTGTAGCTCTTACAATGTGAATAAAGCATGGGAATTAAAGGTGAGCAGAAGAGATACAGCTGTATGGTTGTTGAGGGCTTGGAAGCATTTAATTCACTTTTCCAATGTGCTCTTGCTCTTCAGGTTGCCATGGTGTTCCTGTTTGAAAGGCTCTTTCAAAGTCCCCTGGCTACCCATCACATGTTGCAGCTGGTACTCAGTGCGGGTCTGGATACCTGTGGACTCCACCTGCTCTGTCCTCAGCAGGAAGTGCTGCTCTCCTGCTCAGGTGAGGTCTGGTTTTCCTTCAGAAAACTGAGGTGGAGGCAAAGATCTGTGAATGTATGAAGGTGAAGAGTGATGTGATGCTGTGAACACGGGGAAGAGGGTATCAGATTTACAAGTGTTGCTTTATCAATTCCCATCTCTTTCTCAAAAGAAATGATAGAAGATTCTGGGCTGATTCTTTCTTTCTGTTCCCAGTATTGAATATCCAGGATTTGAATTTTTAAGTCTTGATATATTTTTGTGTCTCAAACAACTTCAGTTATGTTCACTTGCAGTGATCTTTCCCAGATTGCAGTGCCTTGTGTTCCAGGGTTACTTGTGTGAGTTAAATATACTATATTAGCCCCCAGTGACTTTCCTGACTGTTCTAACTGCAGAAAATCCAGCCTTCCCTTCCACAATTTCCCCCATCCTGTTGTCCATGGGACTTAAGAAACATGGCAAAAGCAGTGATTTAGCTGTCCTGTAATTGCATTGGCTGACAAACTGTCACCAAAATATCATATTTGGGAAGAGAAGCCGGTCTGAGATGGGAGACCAGCAAGATAAGGTAAGCAGAAATTATATTGGTCTCTGAACTCAAATCACTGAGTCTTTAACATTAGACTCCAGTGTTTTCACACACTGCCATGCACCACTCAGGTCTTTATTGTTTTTCCATTTCTAAAACAGAGTTAATGATGTCTTTCTTAAAGCATGTCCAGAATATTATTAGTAGCTAATGCAATAGAACTGTAGAGCAACAGATGTTACATTAGCTGCTAAGTATAGAGATTGCCTGTGTTCTAGCATGGTTTGTACTTCCTTTTAAGCCAAGAAGTTCTCCTGGCAGGTTTTTGTTTGACACCATCACAAATACAGGCAAACTATTTCTCTTGGGGAAAGGTATAGGCAGGCTGAGAGAAATGGGCTTCCTTTTCCTCAGGCAGAAGGTGAGTGAAGACCAGTTTAACCAGAGAAAAACTCTCCTGTCTCCCTACTCCCTTTTTACATTTGAAAACAACAAGAGCAGACTGCCTTAGAAATGGGCTTGCAGTTGGGGTTGGCTCAGTGCTGCTTAATGCATTCATACTGATAGCTGGAGAAATTAAGGAGTCCAGAAATGAATAAGAAAACCATAAAATCAGCAGTCATTAGGAGATGAGAGGCAGCAGATCTGCTTCAATGATCTGTACCATGCACCATTATTTAGGAACATTTTGTATGAAGAGACAATTCATTTGAGCTGAGAACTGCTTATGTGAGTTTGTAGATTACATCTGTCTCCTTAGCTTGAAAACTTTAAAATTATTATTTTAAATATATACAGCCAGTTTCTCTGTTATCTACCTACTCTGTTACCTGTTATCTACCTACTCTGGAGACTTATGTTCTGGATTCTGAGGAATTTGAAATTGAAATTGAAAATGGTTTTAATCCTCTGGGAAAAAAAGACACACCTGGCATCTTTTTCTGACATCTGCAGTAAGAACTGAAGAGGAGCCAAATTTCCTGTTTCTGGGGTTACTTACTGGGCCCCAACTATGCTGACAGTAGACATAGAGAAAGGCTTGCCTGAGATGTAAGGAAGAGTTGTTATAGGAAATAAAGGAAGCCTCAGCACAAGTCCCGGCAGGGGAATAAAGGAACCCAATCAAATATTTGCCTGGATATGTCATCTGACATAGTACAAAATCTGTATTGGAGGCAGAAGGAAATAATCTAGAAAAGAAGTCTGCAGATTTCCAGTTTGTGATCCCCTTCCCAGTTTTCTCATGTCAGATAAACATCACAGAAAATATCTCTCTTTGGAGGCTTGTGTTCTTGTTTTTTCTTGCCCTCAATCCCCTGGCTTCCTCATGGGAATGAACAACCGCCTGTACAAGAAGTTACTGCTGACTTCTAGGGTATTAGCTGCTCCATAGTAAAGAACCTGCACAATCCTTGCCATGGCAAATCTGAGGCAACCAGCTCTTCTTTCTTTAACAGACTACCTTGAATAATCTCAGATTTACTGCTGTGTAAAAACATCCAGCTGGTTGCCAGCGTGTCACCCACAGGATAGGTAACTAGTAGGTTTAAGTCCACTTATAACAGATCTGAAAAGAGCATTTGAGTGGAATGAACAGCCTCAGGATGGGTTGTTCCGTGTTGTAGTCACATATATGTCTGTCTTTCACAGGAAAGCTGTCTTCTTCTTGTACTTCAAAGACAAGCAAGGTTCAACCAGTGGTGGCATTGGGTGTGAGAGGGCCTGAAGCATGCAGCAACTTGCAGGCCCCACAGCTGGCCAGCATGACGGACTGCAGCTCCATCAGTGCCATCTACTGCAGAAGCCCAGAGGATCCTCTCATCCACCTGCCCCTCCTGGACAGCTATGCACAAAGGGAGCTCTGCCTCTGGTTTGGAGGGAGGGCTGCTGCATCAGCACTGCATGCTGGTGTCCTGCGTACAGATTCCCAGTGCGACAGAGCAAGGTGATGGCCTGCATGGTTTTGAACCATGGTGGTTTCCGTAGGTGAAGTGTGACATGGAGGCCAGACAGGCACCCAGCTAGTCATGCTCTGTCTTTACCAGCCTTTACCCATGCCAGCATGGGTGGCATGGTGTAGTGGGAGGTGTCCCTGCCCATGGCAGGGGGGTTGGAACTAGATGATCTTAAGGTCCTTTCCAACCCTAACTATTCTATGATTCTATGATTCTGCTAAAGGTCTCAGTGAACAAGAGTGCAGGGTGGGAGCAATCTACCTACTTTTATAGTTCCAAACCAGTTACTACTCTGTGCAGACGTCCCTCTCTCACAGGACATTCTCTTCTGCAGCACCTAATACGTGTGTCAAGGTGTCAGATGTGAGGCTCTTGCAGTTGCTCCCCACTACTTGTTTCCTGGTATCTAGGCATGTAATTAATACCCTTGCAGCATCTGCTCTTGTGCCTCCTGTCCCATATCCAGCTGATCAGACTGATTTTAAACCTCCTCCAGCTGTGCCTGGTGCTGGGGAAGGGCTGCAGGGTGTTAAAGTTCCCTTTTCATCCTTGTTACTGGGTGCCATGTGGCACACTGGGTCAGTGGCAACAAGCTAGAGGTGAGGGAATCCACAGCCCATTGATGCTCTCTGCAGAGTGGCAAAGTACATCCATGTAGAATTAACTTGATGCTCATGGAGGGATTGTGTGTCAGAGTTCAGTTCTGATGAGTCATGAACTTTCATCATTTTGACTTTAAATATTTGAAAAAAATAAATTCAACAAAGTTTCATTTTCTTTATTTATTTGTTCATTTTCCTTAGGGGGGCTTTTATCATCTTACAAAGATGATGAACTCTGCTCATCTGGTATATCTTAGCCATTCCAGAGTACCACTACATTTTAAGTAATGCACTTATCTTTCTCTTAATGCTGGTGATTTGGTCCATTGGGAGACAAGGTACAAACTGCAACTCAGATTGCAGTTTTCAGATTATACTTGCAAATGCCATGGTCTCCTGGGAGTGAAAAAGCAGGATGTATTCCAGCCAGCTCAGTGGTGTCAAAGGATGAGGAAGGCAGCTTTGCCTGAGCAGCCTGTGCTTCCCAGACGCAGCCAGTTTCACACACTGCAGTCTGAGTTGTTGTCAGCTCCTGGCTTTCAGAACCACACCTTATGTTCACTGTGCTGTGATTTGTGCTTTCGGATATGCAGGGGTGTTGTGGAGGTTTCATCTCTGCCAGACTTGGTTGTGCATGTTGTCCAACAGCAACCTTTAAAACTGGCTGAACTTGGGCTAAAGAACCAAAAGTGAGTAGCAACTATGATGTATCTGTGGGTAGGAAAAGTTCTGGTGATGTGACCTGACACATTACTCAGTCCCCAGATTTCTTTGCCAAGCTGGCTACTCTGCATTAGCTATTTTTAACTGAACACCAAGAGCCTTGGGGGGAATAATAGAAAAAGATGTTTAGTCAGAGAGACCTTGAGGCAGGTCATGTTATGGTCAAGGGATTGAAATGGCTTTTCCAGTAAAGTAGCTTTACCAAAGAAGCTCTGTGGCCCTGGGTTTGTTGCAGAAAGTAGGTTTGAGTCAGAACCTGGTGTAACAGCTTTTAATATTTATTGCTTTTCTTTAGCTCACATAGCCCTTTATCAACTAGGGCAGAAGCAGATGAAGAACAGGTTGATCTCCAGGGCATGGTGCTGTCTCAACCTCTAGCAATGCTTGTCTCAAGTACCAAAGGTCAGTGTTAAGGAATGAATTGTGAGGTGTTATGGTTCTCTGACAATATTACCTTACTGCAGTGCACCTGTGTCAGGACATTCTGCCCCACTGGATTGCTCAGTACTGTAACCTGACCAATTCTAGAGGCAGAAATGAATTTCTAGTGAAACACTGCTTCCTAAAATGAAGTGACAGAATGAGCATTATCAGCTCATTCTCCTTGTGGGAGGAGCTGCTGGAGTCCTGTAGGCTGCTTAGCTTTCACTGAAAGGTAAAAAAAGAGAAAACAAGACAACACCCCATGGGAAATCTCTGCACACAGGGACCTGATCTGCAAAGAAACAGTGATGTGAAAGACCTATCAGTGCCCTTAAACTGCATGTTTATCTGATTAGAGATCACCTACCTCTACTGGTTGAAGAGTTGCTGTTGAGAGGATGAAATGGTTAAGACTTCATTTAGGGCAAGACTGACCACAATCACAAAGGAAAGTACTTCACAGGGCTGATATTAACTGGCTATCACTTGGCCCTGCCCAAATCCCCCTTGTCTCTTTCTTAAATGGTGCATAACTCAGGTAGCCTGGCAGACAGCCATTGGCTTTGTGCTATTTGGGATTGGTATCGATGGCAGCTGGTTGCTGCTGATGGAATGAGTCACATTCTCTGCTCCCCTTCCTTTTATGGCCATTAATGATTCACATTTGGTGTGGGCTGCTGAGTTACACCACACCACGTTCCATCTGTATTTGGGCTCAGGAAGTCACTTTCAAGCTTTGCTCCTCAGATAGATAACTCTTATCGTGACTCTTGGAAGAGAAGCTGAAAATGTGATCTGGGAGCAGACACCCTGGGGTGTTTAAAGGAAAGGAAAGGACTCCTTCCCTCAGGTTTCCAGCAGCTTCTCTTTGAGACAGGAAGATAAACCCATGCAGAACATTCAGAACAAATATACTTGCAGCTCCCACAAAGTATATCTGCCCCTCCTAAGTAATCAAACCTTTACCAACCCTAGCAGGTGTTCTTGTTCACAGAATCCCAGACTGGTTTGGGTTAGAAAGGACCTTAAAGCTCATCCAGTTCCAACCCCCTGCCACAGGCAGGGACACCTTCCACTAGACCAGGCTGCTCAAAACTGATTTGGAATATGTGTATTACGTAAAAGATGCTTGGGTTTTAAAGTGTTACCAACTACAGAGGAAACAAAATCTTACAACCTGCAACTCTGAATTTTCTCAGTTCACATATAATTAATGTGGCACTAATGTCAGTCTGGCTCAAAGCCAGCAGAATTAAAGCCAAAACCCTAAAGAGACATTTTAGGCAAAGTACCCTGCCTGTCCCATAAACTTTCCCTTTGTTGCAATGGCTTTGAACCACCAGGTCAGATTCCTGGGGGTACAGATATCCCTATATAAAGTCCAGAACCAAAAGAAACATTCACTGCTGATAGTCCTGCCCCCAAATCACAAGTGTAATTGGGACACAGAAACTAAAATATTCCAACCTCATTATATCATTTGATTAGAGCTAAAAGTGAATAATGGGACAGTGTAGAGGAAACCCATGTAGAAGTGATACTGAGAATTTCTCTTCAGAGCTAACTCTTGGCAGGCTGTGGATATCTGAATGTATGTTGTATGCAGAATAAAAAGCTATATTAGGACTAGGGCAGTGTAGTAATGAAGGTGGTGTTAAAAGCAGAGACTTGTGATAAGATTAGAGCTTGAGCTTGTCCTGTAGTACCTAAATGGGGCTTAGACACTGCTCAGGAGGTCTTGTAGGCTCTTTCCCCTAAGTTGGCTCATAGCATCTGTTGTCACCAAAGGCAGTGAGTTTGGGATTCAACTTGGAAAACAGGAGCCTAAAAACCCAAGGTTCTAACCCGATGTAAACTCCAGTTGCTTCTACAACCTTATTTACTGGGATGAGGGATACAAGGAGAGAATGAGCAGCCAGACCTATTGGATGAGAACTGGGTAGGAGACAAAAGGCTGGTACCATTATCATAATAACCAAGGACAGGAGCCACAGGAGGTACCAAACCAAAGAGTCAGGTGAGATCATGATCACAAACTGGTCCAAAGATTCAGGAGCTTGTGCTGCAAGGCAAGCTTTGGGGAAAGGTTAAAGACAAGACAAAGAAGGAAACAGAAAGGTAACAGCTCAAACAGCCTGGCAAGGACTGATGTGAACTGAGAGCACAGATACCCCAAAAGTAGGTGAGTAGCTATTAGATAGCTAGATGGACCTGATGAGATGGACTGTCTGGGGTAGATGATGCATAAAGATATTATTGATGATGCCATAAGCTTTGCCATTCTAGATTGGCATCTGACAGCAGTCATTATGAGCTGGATAGAGCAAATAAACTAGAAAATACAGTGTCACCATATGGGATGTGGATCGAGTTGGAACTAGCCACTGTCAGAGTTGTCTTGCAGTGATATCATAGCTCCTGTAAAAATAATATGCTGCTTTTCTTACCCTCTTTTTGATCTAGGGGATGTCATTTTGATGGTGTCACCTCTGATATCTCCTTGTGCATATGGTAATGTGATTTCAGTCTGTACTCGTCGGGGGTTTGTCCTGCAAGGAGTCAGACAGCTGCAGCTTTCACCTGAGCAAGCTGCTGTGCTGAGCATGACACAAAGTCAGGTACTGGAATGAACGCACAGCTCAGCTGTGTAATTTGTGTCATTTTAATTTAGTAGGGAAATCCCACCAGGCCTCAGCCTCTCACTGAGAACAAAAATGTAAATTCATAATTGGGCCTCCTCCTCCTACATGTTTGTTTACTCCAAGTGGCAGACATGAATTTTACCACTGACCTCAAAATAAGAAGAGCATGCAGTAGCCCCATAAACCAAACCAACAGTTTCAGATCTGCAAAGGTGCATATTCAGGAGAACAGTCTTTGTCTGACAGATTCATGTTTGATTGTGTGCTTCACAGTCCCTGTGGGACTGCTTATGGCCTTTCAACATAAAGTCTCCTGGTTTAATGCATTCCAGATGGATTGCAAAAAGAGCTTTCTTATTGTCAAAAATAAGGACTTTTCTTCTTTTTCTGTGAAACTCTAACCTGATGAATAGATTTGAGTTAGAGTGCAGTTGGCATTTTGACCAAGTCAGCCAAAGAAAACAGCAATAATCATAGATACAAGATTTCAGTCAAGCTTGACATATGCAAGAAGTCCAGATCTGCACTTCTTAAAATGATAAATCACCCAGGAATCCTGTGACGCATTCTTTTGCCAAGGAGTGGACCCCTTATTCTAAATTACTATGCTTAGGGTCATTTGCCATGTCTATCAGGAGATGCATCATTTTGCAGGCTAAATGGAGTACAACCCCTCTCTTCTCTAGTTGTTCTGTGATCAAGCCTGAGGAATAATGCTTTCTGTGCCTGTAATATTTTGTGGAATAAATATCTACAGAATACTACAGCACAAATAGCCAAACATTGCGAGTATGCTCCTAAATGGCCATTTAAGGGAATAACAAGAGAAACTATTGCTTCAGTGTGCTGTCTGGAGCTAAATGTTTCTGAAAAATTATCCCTTTGTTTGGGATTCAAGATCATTTTTGCATGAGTGACAGGATGGCACCACATATCAGCTGAGTTATAGGTGTTGTGGTTTTAGTCCATCCCAATTGCAGGGCAGAACATTTTTATGTTAATCCTCTTCCCTGAGGTTTAAATTAAGTTTCTTTGTCTCCTGAATAGATGACACATGAATGCCTGGTTATTGGAAGTTACTATGGTTCAGCTGGTGTATTTTGTTGTAAATTTTTGCTTTGAGCTCTATAATGATTATACTTGGAATTAGTAGTTTAATGTGGCCCTCATTATTTCAGGTTGCTGTATTTTGCCCTAGCAAGATTTCAAGTTCTCCTGACAGTTCTGCAACAGGAGAGTTCTCTGCTGAACCATACATGCACTGTCTTGTTTTGCTGCTGAGGAAGGAGAATGCTTGTCATCACATTCCTGCACTGGTGAAAGGTAATACCTCCACTGCTCAACAACCTGGGAAAAGGAGGGCTGCATTTCAGTTCATGTGAACTAAATATTAGCAGACTAACCATGGCTGTTGCATTGCAGGCAATATTTATGGGGAACAGCAGGGCCTGGTATTTTTGCTGTATGTATCTCCAGACCAAGGTGAAACTCAGTCACTGCTACATATCCAACAGAGCAGATTGATCTATGCCAGGTGTTTGATCTTTAGCACTGGAGTCTTCTTGAACACAAAGTAATTCATTTTGGAAGAGATCTTAGAAGTTCTTTCATCCAGTGTCCTGCTCAATCCAGCATCAGCAATAGATTTGGATCAGGATGCTCAGGGCTTTTTTCAGTCAGGTCTTGAAATTCTGCAAGGACAGAGATTCCCCCACCTCTCTGGGCCTTTGTTCCAATGCTCGACCATCCTTATTGAATGTTTTTCCTTTATATTGACTTGAAACCTCCTCTGTTTGAATTGGTGAGCTTTGTCTCTTGGCTTCCTACTGTACACCTCCTTAGTGGGCCTAGCTTCGTCAGCTCAATAAACTCCTCTTGGGGATTCTTATTGCACAGAGAGGTAGGGTGGCAAAAAATAGATATGTGAAAATAGCATCTGATGCTGCCAACCTCAGCCCTGGGTTATGTGTCACTTCCAAGGATCTGAACTGTAACTCTGAACTGAACTGTAAGGACTGCCAAAACCCAGAAAAATTTGCTGCCCCAAATCATCTTACTTGAATCAGACTCTGTTCTGAGACTCTGGTTTAGGAAAAATCTCTGAAGTATGAGCTGTCATTGTTCTCAAGCAGGGAAGATCACAGGCAACAGGGGTGATGAGTAGGGAGCAAATAACCCTGCGCTGCCTGCTTCTTCCTGCTCTGTCAGCAGGCACTTTGCCTGCAGCAGGATTGTTCATTCCTGCATGTCTCCTTTAGACACCACTGCTGAGAGCGTGGGTCACTGTTGCTGGCCCCTCCATTAATGCCACTTCAAATAGCACATGATGGAGACATTCAGCCACTGCTCAATTGCTTCCTTTAATCTATCCACAAGAGAAAAGAACATTTAGAAGTGTGGGTAAAAATGACAGTTCAAAAAGGCCTCTGCTTTTTCTGCTAAGGCTATCACAGAATGTTCCAAAAGCAGACTAATTGCAGCACCATGTCACCTACTGCCTGTAGACCCAAGGAAAGTTGCTCATTAAAGCAATACAGTTTCTGCTGCTGTTCTCAGAGTGCCACAGATGATGTTTACAGTGTTCACATGTTTTGCACAGGGAAATTTCCACTAGAAATATACAGGTGGGCACTGAGGCAAAAGATATTCTGGAAAGGTAAATATTGTCCCTCACTGTAGAGAACCATTTCTTACAGAAAGCTGACATTCTTGCCACACAAACTTTGGTTTGGCCTCTGGGAAGTGTAGAATAACACTAGAATTTGAGTAGGGTAAATACCACACTAAGAAGTTTTACATTTGTAATCAGTACCCCTGAAGAGCAGTTACCCCTTCAAGGTCTTGACAGCTCTTCCATTGTCAAAGTCAGAAAACATTCAAATCCTTGCTGAATCATTGCAAATCGTTCCCAAAATAAAGCAGAGGTAAGTGTCCTTGGTATTGGACCTCTGTCTTGAGGATGAAACACCATAATTTTTTGTCCAAGCTTTACCTTTTGCCATACATTGAGTTTGAGCAAACAGCAGGTAGTGCTGCTGCTGTGGTTTGGTTACTCATGGCACCTGATTTTGAAAAGCAGGTATGTGATTGCCAGCAGTACAGGCTCAAATTCACAGTCAGAGCTACATTTGACATCCAAGGCTTATGATCAGCCTCTAGCACTAATAATCCATTCCTCACGCTACACTACAGTAGATTTTTTACAGGCTTGTATGGTAGAAAGCAATAAAATGTATACAAAGTAATTTAAAAAATAACAAGCCTTTAAAACTGTGGTCTGAAATATTATTACAGAAGGCTGAACTAATTGTAGAAGTGAACCGTATGCCTGTACATAGCCAGGCCTTTTAGAGGGAGAACAGGAACTGAGAGATTGCTGTTTTCTAGCACGTAGTGTCATCCTAGCAAAGCCTCTCAGGCCACATGGTTCCGGGAGGGATGCAGGATACTGGCCTTGCACTTTGAGGGCCTGCACTTAGCCACTGGGTTCAAGGTTTGTGACTTCTCTTCCTTGTGGCACCACCTTATTTAAGAGACTTCTTATAAGTCAAGAGCAGTGTAGCATCTTTGATGCATTTATTCCATGTTTTGATTCATAGCAGGAGATAGAAGGTAATAGAAATGACTGGGGTGCTGGTCACAAAGGAGAGATATTTCCAGAGAAAGCTGTGGCCAAGCCTCAGTTTTCAACAGCTGTTGCCCTGCTTTAACTGAATGTGATCTGGGGGAGAGAGGATGATTAAGGTGCATTTCATGTCTCTTAAGTAAGCTCAGCATGACCTTCATTAACATCTCTGTAATGGAACTGTGATCAGATGAATCCAAATATCTGATAACGAATTCCGGAAAATAAGCTCAGTGAAATACTGATTTAATTTTGTATCAATAAGAAGAGTGTTTTCATGTCAGAAACATCACAGAACTCTGTATTCCTCACATTTTGTTCTGTTCTATATATAGGACTGATGGATGAACTGGCAAAGCAAGGCCATGTACAGAGCAGCCAGGCTCCCACTGCCCAACCCAACCCCTCCATGTGGTTTCATGTGGCTCCTTACACCGAGACCTTGCTGCAGGCACTGGGTAGGTCAAAGCTATGAGAAGCGCATTGTTGTGGGTTTTGCAAGGTCTGACAACCTTATTAGCGGATTTTTCTGAATTAGGAATTCATTAGGAATATGCTTGTCTATAATAACTCATTTAGTGTTCTGCTGTCTGTCAGTCATACTGTTATTAGCTGTCTTCTGTTGCTGGGTAATGATGAAAGAATCAATAGAAAAATTAAACGGAAATACCTTTATAAAGTAAATTAAAAAGCAGGTGAAAAAATAAATTATTCAAATGTGACATAACAACCAGTTAAGCCTTAAGCCATAATTAAAAGGCTAATAACCAATCAATTTGTATTTATTGCCATAGTCTCAAGTGAAGTCTCACTACTGAACTGTGTTTAACTGGTGGTTAAGGTTGTTAAACTAGAATTTGCTGCAGTGATAACCGTTGGCAGCTGTAGTTCTTCTGGAGATGCAGGGAAAGCACTTTTTCATTTCACTTAGATGTTCTTAATTTCAGTTTCTGCAGTTTAATTCACTTGAGTAACTCATTCATTCAAAGCTGAGAAACTGATAGGACTTGAAAAAAAGCAAGTGAATGTGTTTTCTGTTATAAATCTATGACTCAGATGGGTAGGAGAGTCTTAAACCTCCTAGTTCTAGACACTTACTTGGAAGTCATGGCAATCAGATGTTTATTTCACTAACTATAGGATAGTGTTTTGTTATGTATTCAGTAGGTTAATATAGTTTTATTTAACTAGATGCATTATTCTAAACTTGGGTTATCAAGATTTTTAGTGGAAGCATATTGCTTTCCAAAACCAAATTCCCACAAATCATAAGGAAAAATAATTATCAAATGCATGTCATTCACCATTTTCTAGCATCAGGGAATGTTAATATGTAGGAATAACTAAGTAAATAACTGTTAATCTATACAATTCCTTAATAATCATGTAGTGAAACAGTATAGAATCCAACAGGTTTCTGATGGGCTGGGGATTCTGCAAGCTACGCTGTTCCCAGTGGGAATGTGGACATCCACATGCTATTGTACCAGTCCCCAATTTAGTCCTCCATTATATGCCATGTAATGTCCTAGAATACAAATGAAGTATCAATTTAATGTGAAGTCAGTCATTAATTATCAATCTGAAACTGATGCCTTCAGTCATTTGGGTACAGATCTATCAACTCTGCTTAATGGTGTGAATAAGGATAGCAAAATTACAATGGAATATATTTGCTTTATGCGGCAAAAAGGCCTTCCAGTTAAGCAGTGTAACTAATCAGTGAGGGTTTGCTGTGATGCTGCTGCTCATGCATGATCCTTTTTCAGGCTGCACTGAACTGCAGCATGAGGAGTGGCATCACAGGCACTGCCCATTAATGAGCGGAGAATTAGTCAGTTACTTCACACTAAAAGTCTTGATATTTGTTTTCGTGTGGTAACTCATCTTATTCTGATTATCTCTGTGTGCAGGAGGAAGCCTCAGTGCAGTGCCAGAGCCCCGTTACATTCCTCTGGATTTTTTCTGCAATCGAACCTATGCTTCTGATCCTGAAATGGAGCAAGTTGTCATGCTGGCAGTGGTTGGAACAGATGCTATGAAGAGCGCTGGAGAGCTCCTTCACCAGATCCTTCTTCCTGGGCCCAATAGTCCGTCTCAGAGCCCAGGTGATTTCAAACTCTTGGGGTGGGCTGTAGAAGTTGGTCAGAAAAGTTCATCCTGTCTATCCTGTTTTTATCATGGCAGGAATATAATGAAACATGGTGAAAGGGCCTGAGGAAGAAGGACAGGTTTCTTTGCTTATCTGCCTAAAGAGCTGAAGAATTTATCATGGCTAGTTAGTCACGGGCAAAGCCACTTTCTATATTGCAAACAGCTCAGGTGGGCATAATGTTCTTTGGAGAGTGTCAAATTAATTGAAAGCTGTGCTTAGGCTTACGGAGCCTTTTATGTAATCCAGAGCACAGGCTCTCTCCCTGAGTACCAGGAGCCAGAGCACCTGTGTAATTGGGGCACAGCAATGCGAATTCAGGAGTCACAAACTCTATTTTGTCCACTGACATCCTTTGTGCTCAGCAGCAAAACACTGTCCCACTTCACTCTGTGTTTCCTCATGCACACAGGAAGAAGAAATAATTACTCTCTCCCCACATTAAGTACTCAGAAAAGCATGAAGAGTGTGGTCAAGTGCTAAGCAGGATGATTGATTTAGACAAGTTCATGATACAGATAGCAACGATGTGTAATGATACAGGGAGTGTACTCATAAAGGGCAGGAGTCTGGCACCCTGTGTTATACTATGTGTATCGTACTCTCTTGAAACAATATTATGAAGTAAGTTCTGCATCACTTACTCTGTAGTATGTAAGCAAGGAGATTCTAGCTGACAGAAACTTCCAGCAACATGCACTCATGGATTGAGCCCCTAAATATCTTGCTACATGGGACATAAGACTACTTTATACGCACAACAACATTTAAGCTACTTTAGAGACAAGTTGGTGTTAAATTGTGGCTTATTACTATAATGAATATAGCTTAAAATGGAACATCATGAGAGGTGGTAAAGGATCTATAATTATGGACTATAGTGTGTCAAACCACATTGCTATCAGTGTTTTCTCAGTGTTATCAGTGTTTTCTCCCTTTCAGCTCTTCTCCGCTAGTTGTGTTCTCTAATCAAATCATGACACTTATGCTCCATGGCTCCCTGTTGATTTCCCAGATAGCTGATCTTTTGTTTCACTGTAATGCAATTTTCTAGAATTTGTATCTTGTGGATTTTCCATGTACATTTCTGTATCTGCATTACAGTACATTTTGCAACAGGGGGCAAAGGTTTGGAACTTGTCTAGTAAAAAAAATCCATGTGAATTCAGAACACTTGTCTCCAAAAGAAAAACAGCTTCTATGAAACACATGCTACCTACTGAACAGATGCTAAACAGATTTCTCTTACTTGCAGAAGAGCACAGTTTGGGATTTGAGCTCCTTGGTCTCAAATGGTTGTCCCATCTCACTCGATGTCAGGCCAAAGAAGTAACCCCTTTTGAAGTTGGAGATACTTCCTGGCAAAGCAGCCTTGATACACTAATGTCAAACCCAGTCCTTGTGTGTGCATTACGGCGGACCAATGCCTTCAGAGTTCTTGCAGATGCATTGGAGAGATTAACACAATGGAGGGAGAAGCTGAGCAAAAGTGGCGGTCTTCTACAGGTAGTAATGGCCCTGACCCCAGAGGTGACATTCAGGCAAGCCATCCTCTTCTTCACAGAGAAGGAGTTTGTAACTGGTAAGATGTGGTTTTACTGTTTATAATGTCCTTAGGTATAAGGCGTTCAGGAATTTATTGAACCTGGACAAAGGAATCCAGTGCAATGAGTTTTTCTCAGGCACAGAAAAGTGTAATAATTTGGGGTTAAATTCTATGCTTGGCTGAGTAATGATGAGGGATATGAAATCAGCAGGAGCCAGTTGAGGTCATCTACAAGTTAGCCTATTAATTCATGTGTGCATGGCCTGGTCCCCTCTCTAAAGGTCTTGAGGTATTCCATAAATACTAAATTGATATTACAGTAGTTAGCAGGACCAGTAAATAACACTGTAAGTTTTGTCTCTGTATATAAGAGAAACTTAGAAACAGAGACCAAGATCTATCCCAATTAGATGTGGCTACCTATTTGTGGTGCCTAACTTGCTGAGGCAAATACCACAGCCTTTGTTCTGCACTTGGGGAGCCAAAGGTACAACCACTCTGCAACAGCTAAAGAAAGCAGATTTCTTGAGAATTACTTTTCATCCCAGAAGAGAATGAACAGTTCATTCATGACAGAAGAGAGATTGAGATGAGCTCTTAGGCAGAAGTTCTTCCCTGTGACGGTGGTGAGGTGCTGGTACAGGTTGCTCGGAGAAGCTGTGGCTGCCCCATCCCTGGCAGGGCTCAAGGCCAGGTTGCACAGGGCTTGGAGCAACCTGGCCTAGTGGAAGGTGTCCCTGCCTGTGGCAGGGGGTTGGGACTAGATGATCTTAAGGCCCTTTCCAACCCACACCATTCTATGATTCTATGAGGAAAGAAGACCGTTGTCAAAAGCCTCTCCGACTTCAGTGATATATGCTAGCATTGATCATTCAGCGTAGTAAACTTGAGAGCTTCCTCACAAAATTAGAAAAGTAGAATCATGCCTCTAAGCTAAATTGATGCACGGACTATGGTGTTACTGTTATTGGATGCTTTGGAGCAGCAGAGTATGAGCTCTCACTGTTTTCTTCCAATGTGAAATATATTGGCATATCACCTCCATTCTTGGGGATGTCTGACTCCTCACACCTAAAGATAAACAGTTCTGAGACTGACAATTCTTGATTATTCAGAAACAGAGAGAAATTAAGATTGTGGTAATACTATATATGAACTGAGCAGGAGTGATGCAGTTCCAGAAGTACATTCATGCTTTGTAATTTACAGCTCTTCCCCTACCTTTCTGTGAGGAAGGAAGGTCCTTTGTTGTCAGTAAATTTAGATACTCATGTCAAACACACAGTGGTTATGTAGTGTGGAGTAAAAAATTAGCTTTACTAAATAGAAAAAAGAAAATGTGATGACATCTGGGAAAAGACAGTGAATTATGTGGGTGTTTTATGTGAGACAGGAAAACAAGAAAAAGAGGCCTTCAGAAAAGAAGGCACCAGACATCCCAAATTAGTGTATAAAACTGTAGGAACTGATGCATTGCTGCCCTTCATTAAAGACATCTTGAGACCAAAAGACAGGATAAGATGAAAGCACAACTGTCAGATCAGTTTATTGAGGAAGGTTGTAATCACAGTGCCATCTTTTCCCACCAAAGCCATTGTCAAGAGCAAAGGAGCATAGCTGAAGCATGACTCCAGCGTCTTGCACTCTTTTATGAGGGCATTACATGTTTCCTCCTGTTTTTATTGTGGGAAGAATGGTGAGGTGTTTGTGTGGATAACAGTTCTGCAATATTTTGCAGCTGGTCAAATGTCTGCCATTTCCCCTGCTAAATAAAATCACCTTTGTCACCCCTCGTGCTCCCAGACAGAGAAGGTTCCCATCTATGAATCCATAACAATACATCTCCTTCCTTTTACAGATGCAGAACACCGCCCTGCTAGGAAATACCTGCCACCACCTGACAAGAGGGCCAGGGCTGAAGGTAAGACCAGAAGTTATGCACCAGTTGCTTCTTGGATAAACCCAAATAATTTTATACTCATAGATTGAAGAAAACTATAACCCTGCGTCCTCTGACAGAGTCATTAAAATGGGATTAGATTGGCTATAAGAAGGAAATTCTTTCCTGTTAGGGTGGTGAGGCACTGCAATAGGTTGCCCAGGGAGGTTGTTAATGCTCCATCCCTGGTGGTGTTCAAGGCCAGGTTGGACGAGGCCTTGGGTGATATGGTTTAGAGCGAGGTGTCCCTGCCCATGGCAGGGGGTTGGAACTTGATGATCTTAAGGTCCTTTCCAACCCTAACTGTTCTATGATTCTATGATTAGTAAACCTCTAGTTAGACATCAGAATCCCAGGAAATTAGGAAGCAAAGGACAGAGGGGTCCACTTGGTACTGGGGGAAGGTGGTTGTGTTGCCAGATCACTTTTCCTCTATGAAGTTCTCTGTGTGCTTGGATGTAGCCTATCTAGGGTTGGCGTGGAATGAAGGTTAGAAGAGCAACTAATGGCTTCTCTTTAGTAGCCCTTTTCAGATGCAGATCTCAAAAAATACGAGTTTCAGGATGTTTTACAGAGGGGTAATTGAAACCTAGAGAGGTGAAATGTGTTGACCACCATTCCCTAACCAATGAGTGACAGAAATGGGAGCAGAAGGCCATTTCCTTAGTCTCACACAAGGGACTCTACCTTTTGAATTATAGTGCCACCCAAGTCACCACAGAATTCACAAGTCCTACAAGTTTTTCAATACTAAAGAAAAAAGATTGTTACTGTGAGGGTATGAGCTAAAAAGTTAGAGGTAAGGACCCTGAAGCTGGCTCTACCTCTCTATGTACACTTATTATTAAAGCAAAATAAATGGCAGATGTGGAAAAAGGTCTCATTAAAAGGAAAGAACACTTTGCCTAGATACCTTCCAGATACATTGCCCTGGGAAACAGAAATATAGGGATTTCAGAAAGTAATAAATACAAAGAAATGGTAATTTTGTTTTGACAAACAGATTTTAGTTTTCTCTTATCTACTTTGCATGTCACACTGCTTAAGTGTGTCAGTCCCTGGAAAGGAAGTCCTTTATCAGCTTGATACAAGCTTCTCATTGTACCCCAGTCCTAGATAACTTCTGGAATCACATGTGCCTTGAAGTGCCTTAAATTTTCCTCACCTCCCCAGGACACAGCAGGTTTTACATTAGACTGAAAGAAACATTTTTATATAAGCTTTTGTTGTAAGTTCTTCCTCACCAGGCTCCTTTTGTACTGCTCTGCTGAGGAACTACTGAAGTAACGTTCCTGGCTGCTGGGAAATGTCAGTGATGTTTTATCAGCAGAGCTGAGAAGAGGACTGAACCACAGTTCTGAGCTCAGTAGGTGTGTTATCAGAAGACAGAGCTTTTCTTTGCTTCCAAGGGCACAAGAGAGGACATTAAACAAAACTAGGACTTACACTGGAAACAAAGCAGTTTCTAACTTGACTGAGAAACCTTGGGAGCACACCATTAGCCACTCTCTGAAATACAGAAAAGGTAACTAAGAATCAACAGGATTTAGTACTTGCAGGCCTCAGCAAGGCTTGGACTTACTGGAGAAGTGGGAAGAACATCGCCGAGGGCATCCCAGTGTATCCCAACAACTGAAATCAAGCCATGAGTGACCCATGAGTATAATGCTTTAGAATGTGTCATAGCTGCATTATGTAGAGATGATGGCTACATTCTCAAATTATTGTCCCAGCACATGCACAGCACTTACTTAATTTTTTCTGCTTTTCTCATTTAGTGGGAGAGAGGCAGGGATGCCACGGAGAATCTCTGTTCACCTATTTACAAACAGGTGAGAGAAGAGCAAAAGGGAAAGTGTGGTTTGGGAAGGGCTTTGTGGAACTAACTTGTCTAACAGCCAAAAATAAGTAAAAAGCATTATACCAACTTCATCTTCAGGCTTGAGTACAGGCAGGGATATACACTCTCTTTTCTGAACATGCCAGGAAATCTGGTATTTGCTTCTCTTGAGTCTACACTTATTTTGAGTCCCACACATATGTAGATTATTGCATATAGATATCATATGAAGTAGTATTTTTCACAGTTACACTATGAAATCAAAATCTATGTAATATTTTTTTTTTTGGGGGGGGGAATCATTGGCTGTGAGGAAGGGATCTAAAAACATAATGAAGCAGAAAAACATAAAAAATAGCAGGCAACTAGAGCAAACCTGGAAAGGCCACTAAGCAGCCAGGGCTGGAGATGAAAATCAGGCACATCTGAGGGCTGCCAAAGAGATGTTTTCTCTTGCTGTTGTTACTTATAATCACCGAGGAGATAAAACCAACTCCAGGTGACAAGGTGTTCTCACCCGTTTTCAACATTTGTCTTTGAGCAAACAAAGATGGCAAAGTGACACAAAACAAATCCCTCCTGAAATGTCTGAAGTCAGTAAATTTAGTGTGTAATGATTCACATACCACAGGAATAAGAATGTTTGCCCAGAAACATAGCAGATGGCAAATAAAACATCTGGAGGACAATGAGAACTCATGTAGCAGCACACAGCTGAGATTGCTGTTCAGTGTGCAAGCAGCTGAATGGATCTAAGTAGTTTGCTCTACTCCTGCACTATGGCATTTAAACCTTTCTGTTCAAGAATGATGTGAATAAAATGTCAGATCTCTAAGAGGAGGGCTCCCTGCATGATAAGGGTTAAGTTTCCCTATCAAGTGGGGGAGCAGTAATATAATTTTTTAGTTTTGATCCCATATTTCTGTCATGAATCAGTACCATGCCATTTAGAAATAACAGTATGCAGTAAGTTATATGTAGTGTTGATGCTTCGTTGCATTGACATTTGTATAAATAGTAGTGGGGATACAGGAAGCATAAAATGACTCTTTATGTATACAAACAGATAACCATGGATGAATGTGAGCAGCCTGCAGTACTGTAGCCTCATGCTTCATGCTAGTTGCCATAGTTAGGCACCAGCAGTTAATGGGCCCTAACTGACTGGTTCTGACACTACTGTTGTCAATAAATCTTCAAAGGCTGTTCAAAGATTTATTATCTTCAATATTAGGATATTGGGAATCTTAACTATATTCCTAGTTATAAGGTACTTTAGCAAAACTAATAGTTTGAAAATGCTGCCATTTAAAAATGAAAATGTCTCTGCTTTCTGCCTTTTAATGCAGTTGGTATCATCAGAGAGCAAAACTCTCTTGGCCTGGTTTGTTCTGTTTCTCCCAGCACACAGAGCTGCACCTTGCTGGCAGCTCTGCTGGGGCAGCTTTGTCAGGAGCAAAAGGGGTTTTGCTGAAATCTCAGTTTTACTAACCATAATTCTTATTTGTAATAGGTTTAAAACATTAATTGAGACCTGTCATGCTTGTTAGTGCCTCTCTGAAACATAGCTCTAACAGAGATAGCAAAAGCAAAGCACTGAGGAATGAGAATTTAATAGCTGCCTTAAGGATTATATCACATAATCACTACAGTTGACATGAAAAATGTAAAAGAGAATATTTTATCCCTCTTAAAACTTTCATATTAATATCAAGAATCGAGTCTTATCCTACAGACCTTCCATGTAAAAGTCTTGGACTCAAAGCAGATATACTGGGAAAAAACAATCTACAAGCATATGTTGCTTGGATATATTTTTTAACTAAAAATCAAACAAGACCCCACATGCATTGATGGGGGGGGGGGAATTATGACTTTGTTTTATTCAAATTTTTGTGAACTTGATGCCAGCTTTTAGATAAGCCTCTTCTACTGATGTCTGTCCAGGCTAGTAAATTCTGCCCTCTGTTTTACCTCGGGTTTTAGGAGCAGCTGTGGGTTTCACTCTGTGCTTTGTTACAGGAGCCCAGATTCTTTGCACAGTGCTGCTGATCAAACCCGGTGCCTGGAGCCGCAGTTTTGCAAGGATCCTCCGAAAACTAGACCTGGAAAAATTCACTGTGGTTGGCATGAAGCACATAAACCTGGAACCAGGTGTTGCCTTACGACTCCTTTCTTCTGAAGTGAAACAGGTGTGTTAAGAAGCTGGTTGATCTGTGGCTACACTTAGGTTTGGAGTGGGGAAATATGTTAGCTAGTGAATAATCCGTTCCTGAAAAAAACACAAACCTCCCATCCGGGATTTCTGAGCTGTTGAAGTGAGCTATATAGAACAGTCAGCTCTGTACCAGTGTCGGACACAAAGCAAGCTGGTGTGCTGACTGTTTCTTTTATTGCATGCCATAAAGCATCGGACCTGGTTTCTCTAAAACAAAAGTTTGGAGGATCTGGTTAATACAGATCTCCCAGGAATCAGTGGAGTTGCCAAGTTGCAATGCTGATTCTCTAACTGTAAAACAGGTGTCCTCTTTTCCTTCCCTAAGGTCATTCCAGGTAAAGGCATATCTAAGGTGCAACCAACACCCCTGCAGTTGGGCCGGGCTCTCCTTCCATGTGTTTAAACCTGGAAGTTGAGAAATATCTGCTGCACTGCCAGAGAATATGTACCTCTGGAGCCCTGTTCCCTTAGATTACATGTATTACACATCTTACACATGCAGCTGAATCTGTCTTCCAGGAGTGTGTGTAGAAGAGCCTGTAAAAATGACCCGCAAAGAGAGAAAATTGAGTTACTGTCATTTCTACTGTCTAATATACAATAAAGAAGGTTCTTAAATCTCAGGGCATTACAGGCTTTTGTTAGCTAAAAATAGGTGCATGTTTCTGCTCTTCTACACCTTTAGAAATGATTTCTTTCCCAAAATGCAATACCCTGATATGAGTGTAAAGATACAAGAGGCCAGAAACTGAAATCTGGGCACTCCTGAGGAGCTAGATGATTATTATTAGTTTTTTTAATCTCTTTGTTATTTGATTGCTTTCATGAAGACATTTAACCAATTAACTTTTACAGAAAACAAGCCTTCCTAATCAATATTGCTCTGGGATTATGTTGGGAGAGTTTACAGTACTCTCTCATAGAAAGTATTACTAGTCTTCCAGAGGAAGAGAGGAGCATGCCAGGACAGTGCTCTAACATAACCACCAATCAGGAACAGTTACCACGTTCTGCATGATGGCAAAGCCATGGAGCACATGCATCTGATTTTTAAATAGTTACAGGCCACTTGTAAGACAGGCTGGATAGGTGGGATGATGTGAACCTCCTGAAGTCCAGCCAGGCCAAGTACAAGGTCCTGCAATCCCAAGCACAAACACATGCTGGGCGAGACTGGATGGAGAAGCCCTGAGGAGAAGGGTGTTGGTCAATGAGGAGCTGCTCCCCATGACCCGGCTTCAGTGTGCACTTGAGGCCAGAAACCCCTCATGTGTTGGGCTGCATCCCCAGAGCATGAGCAGCTGGTTGAGGGAGGAGATTCTCCCCCTCTGCTGTACTCTGGAGGGATCCCCCCCTGCAGTCCTGATCCAGCTCTGGGGCAACACCACAAGAGGGACGTGGAGCTGTTGGAGAGAGTCCTGAGGCCACAGAGATGCTGTGAGGGCTGGAGCAGCTCTGCTCTGGAGACAGGCTGAGAGAGCTGGGCTGGTTCAGCCTGGAGAAGAGAAGGATCCCTAAGGGGAGACCTCAGAGCAGCTTCCAGGGCCTAAAGGGGCTACAAGAAACCTGGAGAGGGGCTTTGGACAAGGGCCTGTAGGGACAGACCAAGGGGGAATGGCTTTAACCTGACAGAGGGGAGACTGAGATGAGCTCTTAGGCAGAAGTTCTTCCCTGTGAGGGTGCTGAGGCACTGGCAGAGGGTGCCCAGAGAAGCTGTGGCTGCCCCATCTGTGGTAGTGTTCAAGGCCAGGTCATGTGGGGCTTGGAGCAGCCTGGTCTAGTGGAAGGTGTCCCTGCCCATGGCAGGGGGTTGGAACTGGATGTGCTTTGAAGTCTCTTCCAACACAAACCGATCTGGGATTCTGTGAAGAGTTGCTGAAGGAGTGCTTTCCAATATGGCTTTTAACCATACAGCTAAATACAAAAATGCTTAGTTGATCATCTGAAACAAGACACTTTAAAAAAATCCCAATGTCTGCCTCAGGAATTAATGCTGATGTATGCTGGGTAAAGTTACAGGGGAGTGGTTTCATCAACATTTTCTCTTGTTTTGGGAGGTCTCTAGCACACTGGAGCAGCTGCTGAGCATTGATTTAGTTTCCTGGAAGAGCTGGTGACTAATGAGCTTAAAAATTACAGACTGTTGGGGTTTTGTTCGTGGGGGTTGGTGGGTGGAAAGGCAGGTTTTCAAAGTGAGACAGCAGAGATCACCAACTGCCTTTGGCAGAGGGAATGGGCAGTAGGAAATGCTTTCTGCTGTATGGCTGCTTCTCAGTTTTAGAGCACATCTGAAAGTCTCTCGCTTGTGAGGGTTGGAAGAGGCTGAGCTTCCAAGATAAACAGATAGATTTGCAAAAAGCCAAAGTATGCTTCAGGGCCTGGACTATTTGCAAAATCCAGCTTCTAAGTGTTACAAGGGCAGCTGGTGGGGGCAGATATATTTCTTGTAGCTGAATTTCATATAAACATTTGAATTGGAGTGCTATTCATTGTCAGTCTTTGTGGGGACAACAGGATACAGGGCTGATTTTAAGATGAGGTTGTTAATATGGGGGCAAATTGCTGAAATTTAACATCTCTTGAAGAACATGGAACCAGTGTGTCTGACACTTCTAGAAGGGCTTTTTACCTCCTCCTCACCTGGAGCCTGATCCAAAATCCATCTCCAAGAATCTCTAGAGAGCTCCTGTGTGTTCCTCAGTGTGCCAGTTTGTTTTGTATACACAGTACTTGATCACAGATTTGGGGTTTATTCATTCATAGAAAGACTACCTAGCATCTCCTTCTCTTTCTAATGGATTATTTATATGCACGCTGACAAATATCCTCAGCAACATGATTTCAGGTACACAATTGCTTTTGCAACTTATATATTAACATTCAGCTTCTAAGTAGCATATGGTCTTTGGCATACAATAAATAATGGACTGGTCTGCTGTTTGCTGAGGCATCTAATTACAGGAGCCATGATCATATTTTTTACCTGAAGTTTATGAATAATTTACAAAAATAAGAGTCAGTAAATAGAGCTGACATTGTCTCCTCAGCTGTTAACAGGACCTGGTCATGTTCTAACTGTGGGAAGCAGCCACTCCTGAAGGGATTTCTGCCCGTGGAGGCTGGATCTACTTTCAACAGCTCCAGCCCAGCACCAATGTGCAGTTTTGGCTGCCAGCTAGAAAGCTTGATTTTACAGTTGGACCTTATCACCCTCTTGGGAATCACCTGAAATGATTGCCTGCAGGTCGCTAGACTCAGTAGCTTGATGATTCCCTCCAGTCCTATCTTGTGATTCTGACAGTAGAGGCCAAAGGATGATTTTGCTGCTTTTTAATCCTGTTAGTCCTCCAGAGCCAGTGCACAGCTGGAACTTCCTCTGTGTGCAGCAACAACATCACTCACTGAATTTGGGTCAGCTGCACATCTCGCCACAGCTGTTCAGGTGTCAGTGGGGACACGGGTGAAGATGGTGGAAAGGCAGGATGTAAACAAGAGAAGCATTTTGCTGGCAGAGCCTAGAGCAGATGTGAAGATCTCTTAGGATGGGAGAAGTCATCTTGACTCACTGACACCATCAGTAGCAATCAGAGAAAGCATCATCTTTAACACAAAGTCTGCGTATTTGCGGGGGAACAACTGAAAGACAGGAAACACAGTAAGGTTCTGTTATGTAGATCTAAAAACGGTGTTTAAAAGTTCTGGAACAAAACAACTTTATTTGTTTCGGTCTGTTTAACAGAAAGCATCTCTAAATATTTTCTTTTGCAGATGTTTCTGATATGGATGAATGTTGGTATGTTATACTCAGTCCTTTTTAAAGTTTACATGAAGTCATCCTCACTGTGTTTCATCTCCCAAAGAGAAGGCCCTTGGAAAAGTGTATTATGTACATATTCTTTCAAGCTACCAAAAGATTTCAAGCAAAAAAGTTTAATCTTGTATTATACAGAACTGAATGAATGTCAGCATGTTGCAGTATACTATGACCTGCTGAAACTCTTCATCCTCATCTAAATGGAGCTCTCCTGCCAGAGGAGAGCCTGTGCTAAAACTTCCCTGCACAGTCCTGTTCTGCAGGTGACATCCCAGGGTTTCCTCTGCCCTGTGTTTCCATGAGGTGTGAGGATGGATACATATCAAACCAGTTACCTAACTAACCCATTTAAAAACAGGGGGGCTTTCTCATGGATCATTTTGCATTTTCAAATACAGAAAAGAATATCTGGATTGAGCCTGTGCTTTTCAATTCATAGCCTACTTCTTGGAAATACAGCTGAGGAGGAATGTGAGAGAGAGAAGATTTGGGTCACAGACAGTGAATGGTTTCATATGATAGGAAAGCAAAAGAGACCTTGAGTAGTTTATCTCCATATTTTAAATGAAATTATGGGGTTTACTTTTGGAAATGTTTTATCTAGATAATAGAAGATTAAGAAATAGAGGAATTAAACCCCTTAGGGGGCTGAATGATGTGTTTCAGCTGAATCAAATGATGGTTTTCCCCACACCCCCCTTCCATCTCCCCCGAAATTGAATAAATAAATAAATAAATAACCATGGGCTGGTTCAGGCAGGGCGCTGAAACTGCTGCTGTGCATAAGCTGCACAGGGGACATAGTTCTGGTGTGGGGCTTCTCTGTGGAGCACGGGGAGGCAGAGCTTGGTGCTCCTGCCACTCTGTCAAGATGAAGGGGCAGGAGGAGGCACCCTGGATCTGCTGTGGGCACCCTGACCTCATACTCAGCAGAGATGTCTGCAACAAGCCTGGCTTTCCAAGGGTTTACTTAATTAAAGCAGTCAACAAGGCTGTGAGTGCTCTGCTGCCTCTTGGAACCCTCTGCCCCAGTCATTTGCTGCCTTTCCCTGTGCTTCTCAATCATTATGTCCATTTCAAGCCTCCAAATCAGATTGTTCTCACTGGTGCAGTGGTTGCTAGTTATCGTCTTTACCTATCCTTAGTTAAAATAAAGATCCCAGGTTGTTGTGACCTGCACAGCATCAAAAGGAACATCTCTGCTCAAGAGTGGTCATAGGCTGAACCAATCACACTTGGAAAAGAATGAGGGTAGAGAAATAAGTCATGGAGCACAATGCATCGGTGACAAAGCCAGGAGGGGAGCTATTTTCTCTCAGTCCCTATCTAGTGCCCTGCTGCTCTGAGCCTCCTTGTTTTAAGCTCACTAGTTCTGTAGTCCTGATCCTAACTTGTGTGTGTTCCTTGCGTGAATGCAAGAATAAAAGTTCTAGTATTTGCAATCCTTCATTATATATCAGCTAAGGAATTAAATGTGGTTCCTCATCCCAGAGCATTTATGACCTTGTTGATATTTCTAATGTCTATTCCTTCCACCCTATCCTCGTGTCATGTTGAAGGTCAAGTTAAAAGGGTTATTGCATAAATCAAAGGGTCACTAGTAGATGAGTAAACTGCAGAGTAGCAATTTGTTTTCATCCTTATCCCCTGAAAATGAACTCCACCTCTGGTACCTGGAATGTACAGATACACAGAACAAGCACAGCACAAGGCTTCCTGTATTCTAGGAGCAGGATTTTGTTTCCTTTCTTACTAAAACGTTAGGAAATTACTGCTGAAGTTTTTTGTATGTATAAAACCTACTGTTGGTTGATCTAGGGCCATGAGGACTAGAACCACAAGCTGCTATGGCTTAAGATCCTGTCATTAACTTCTTTAGCTCTGTGGGAACTTAGGGTGGGAACTAGATCTCCTACTACCTGGCGCATGTAACAGCAAATGCTGGCTTAATGGTTATGGTATGTACTCTGGAAGCTCTGCCTGCAGAAACCACTAGCACATATATTATGGAGAGAAAGCAGGTCAGGAAAGCTGTGATGTACCCAGCACTCACCAGCACTGTTCATCGTAACCTGTTTTGTCTCTGTTATTTCTCTTCAGGATCCTGCTGTTTTAGAAGCTCACTGTTCCTACCTTATTTCAGGCACTGCTCTCGTGCTGTGTCTTCAGAGGCCAAATGCTGTGAAGAAGCTGATAGATTTACTGGGGCCAGAGGACCCTAAAGTAGCCCAAGCACTAGATCCATACCTCTGGAGGGCTCAGTATGGCACCAGCACAGTCCAAAATGGATTTTATGGTAAGTTTTTGTGAAAGTCCAAAGGCTGAAACGTGCCATTGGAAAAAAGACGTTATGTACTGTCACCTCCTGAATTGTCAGTGTAGGTCTAGCCTTGGCAGGTGGTAGAAACCATTATCCCCCCCTTGAAAGCCTTCACTGTTGTCCTGGTGGCTGAGCTGAATATGTCTCAAGCTGTGAAATATAACCCAACAAGATATATTAAAAGGTTTCTTTCCAGAACAGCCCTAGCTCTGCCTTCCACCAGAACAGATTTCCTTTGATCTCTTCACTACTTGGTTATTTTGTACTTTTAGCTTGGTTATTTTGTAATTATCCCCAAGAGCCCATCTGTCTTCTCTCTGCTTCAAAGCTACCCTCCTGGTAACCTCATAACCAACCGGCCAACTGCCACCAGATTCCACAGAGAGAGAAAAAACTCCAAGATACTGATTTCCTGTAACATGTCCAAACATTAATGATTGACTAAAAAGAGGTGATCAAAAATGGCTTTCCCTAAGGAAAGAGGTAAATTCGGCTGTTTTCCATTCAAAGAGGCTCTTGCCAGCTGCCGCATCAGCAGAGACACACCAGTTAGTCAGCACCTGGATGCTGAGCCAGCTCATCTGCCAGCAGGAAGGGAGCTAGGATGCTGCAGTGGGAGGTGGGATGGGAGATAGCTGGGAGTGGGTGTGAAGGAGGGGAAAATGGGAAGTATTGCTGGAGAGAATGGACTGGAGACAGCCTAGGTTATTGCTGGAGTGGGCCTGGGCTTCTGCCACAAGGTGGGAAGGGTAGAGTTCAAACATTCCTAGGGAATTAAGCACCATTAGTTCACTGCCCATGAACAGGGTTTTTCTTCAGTGTGGTGCTGATTGTGCTGTGTGTGGTTAAAGGGATGTAAAAATAATAAAAGCAATAGTTTCTATAGGCACACTCTAGTGTGAGCTAGCAGACACTGTGTATGTACCTTCATGCTCCAGAAGAACTTTCTTGTCAAGATTGGATTATTTGGTTCTCTCTATTGTATTCTGTGCTATCAAAACACTTTTTTTGTCCACATCAGGTGATCTTTTGAGGAAAACTGGTAGGGAACGAAGTAGCCCCCATGTACAGTCTGGGGGAGACAGTCAACCCCTTGAGGTAGAACCTTGGTGTTTTTTTCTCAGGTATGATCATAATCCTTAGGAACAAGACTAAACCAAGAGAGAGCTCACACCACTTACAGAATCTCATTCATGGGAGTGACTGAAGAGCAGGATCTACCTACACAAAAGGAATGGTCAGGGCTCTTCAGCCAATTTTCCAAGAAGCCCCTGCTTCTTTTGCTCTTAAATTTAATAGTTTGTGTATGCAGGTTGCCTTGAGAATGAGAACTCTTCACTCGCAGCTAATAATTAGTAATATATACCCCAAACTTAGGATACCCATGCATCCCATGTTAGAGCATCCCTAGCATAGCTCAGCTGAAGTTTACTTTGTATTAGCAAGAGAAGCCAAGCCTCACCCTGTCTTTCACTGGAATAGCTCACTGTGTTAGAGAAGCCCTCAGAGGTGTGCTGAAGGATTGATTGCTTTCAGATTCCTGCTCACTCCAAAGGCTGGGTTGAGCACAGAGCTGCGCTTAGCTGGCCACCACCCATCCTCTGAGTGCAGCCTGTGCTTGTGTTGATGGCAGCAATGTGACTCTTTCAGAGAGCCATCGTTGCACACATCCAAGGAGACTGGAGGCAGCTGTAACTGATGTACTCACTGATGCCAGCTCTGATCCAGCTCTGGGCCAGGGAGGCGTTTGTCCATAAGGGAAGGAGCATTTATAACCCATTGCATCTCCAAGAGCTTGTCCTCCAAAAGGGGTGAAGCATTTACCTACAAGTTAAGCAGGAATTGCTGAATCACTGTGTGAGTAATCATTTGGGAGGGTTGTGGAGCACCATCTTCCTCTCCTAGGAGGGAATAATGAGCCTGCTCAGTTTTGCTTCAACTGAGGAAGAGCTCTAGTTAATGTCACCTTGTTGAAGTAGAGCAAACTCCAGCTGTGTGTTTCCTCCCAGAGTAATTGGGGAGTATCAGTGGAGATGAAGACTACGTTCCAGTGATACTGTTGAACCAAGTAATGCAGTTTTAATACTCTGATGCTCAGCTGCAGAGGTAAACCTGCACTCATCTCATCTCTTCTTGGTCTTACAAAGTCATCATATAGTGCTTTTTGTTGAACCCAAAGATCTCTTACACAGGCGTCTTACACAGTCTTATACTTCGAGCAAAGTGAGAGTAAAAATGTTGCAAGCTTTGGGAACATTTGTGTCCTCTGTAATCGCATCAGTTACTTAAACAAGGAAGATTTTGACTCAGAGGTACGTAAAAGATCCAGCACAACTTACATGCTGATGACTTAGGCAATCTTAGGATTGTAAACTACTGCGTTAAGGACTCTGGCAGTTCAATAGCTGGAATTATGAAGTTCAGACAGGGCTGAGTGCTCTAAGAGCAGTAAGGCATGATTCTTTCAATGGGTAGCCTGCAAAGGTGGTAATATTTCAGAGGATATTTACGTTTTGTATATTTGTATCCCAGGGGTATGGATCTGTGCCAGCGATTGACAATCCATCTGAACTCCAGTTATATAGAAATAGCTTTTCCTTCTCTAACATCTCCCACCCACAAATCTCAAAGCATTCTGAATAGTGCTTTGTAACAATGTTGTTTTATAGGGATATGCTATATCCTGATGCTGAGCCTGGAGAGACCTCTCAAGCCACTGAGTTCAGTTAATTCCTCCACAGACAATGCCATCATATATTCCCTTTCATAAGGATCCACCCCATCCTTATGGCATGGTTGTAACAGAACTTCACTGCTCTGATAGCTAAAATTCTTCTTACATTTTCAAATTTAAATGTAGTCATACCCAATTTGTATCCATTTGTTCTTGGGCCAATACCTTTACTTCAGTTTTAAGTAGTTCTTTTTTCTTCTCTGACCTTTTCTACCCAGGTGTATTTATCAGAAATCAGATTCCTTCTCAGCTTTGTATCATGTTGGGTCAAATGAGCCAAGGTCTTTTAGTTTAACTCTTCAAATGTTTCTCCATTCCTTCCGTGATCCTCATGTTGTTTCTCTGTGTACCTGTCCCAGTCTCAATTTCCGTCAGCAGTGTCTCACTAATTCTGATTTCTGTTGTAAGTCAGAGCCCCCAGCTTATCTGGGACTTGCGTTATTGTTACAAGGCACATTTGTTTTAGCAGCTAGTAGCTCCTTCCCGTTCAGTAAGACCAGTCTGATGTGATTCAGAAGCAAGGGAACAAAAATAGGAGATTGGAGCTGGTATTAAAGAGGTTCACAGGCTCCTTAACACAATTCGCTTTACTACTCTGCTGGGAAATAGGAGTCTTGTTTACATGAAGAAGCAGCTGAGTGATAACAGGACAGAATCACAAAATCAAGAAGGCAATGAAACTATTCTAAATATAATGGTTTAAAATGTTTGCTATTACTATATTACTATAGGACAGCTGGCCTTTAAAGCAATTACTTCAGTACGTTGCACATCATCAGTCTCTCCAAAAGATGAGTGTGAGTCTAGAAAATGTTTAATTCATGGCCTGAGAGAACCTTGTCATTGTATTTATCTTTCAGGCTCTGAATCCTATCAAATAGCTGTCCGGGATATGAAGCTGTTTTTCCCAGAAGGGCTGTGCTATGCCAAGTGTCCGACATTAGAGGAGGAAGAGGTAAGATTCTGCCCTTTCCTGAGAAGTATCCTGCTGTATCAGAGCAGTGGCTTTGGTCTTTCTTTCCTATTACACTTTAGATTATGCTTTTTTTGATGTGTTTTACCAGCTGCTGAGATTTTGTTCTCCTGTGGATGTTCCTATCACAAGGTGCTCACTTTATATTGACCCAGACAGCCTTAGTGGAAAAGTGCTTTTCCAGATATGTTTGTTCAGTAACCTGTGCTGTAAATTCAGGGCTCATACTTTAGAAGCTAAGTTCCCAGACAGAGTCAACATCGCTGTGGAAGCAGGTCACAGGGAGGGATAGCAACATCATCAACAATTGCTAAGACATAGCTGGCCCAGAGGCTGCTTTTTAACCAGCTTTTCTCATGTAGTATCCAGGAATGGAGGTGAAGAGGGACAGGTGATAATGTAACTCACTGATTGCTGAATGTCTACCACAGAATATGCACACATCCACATGCTCACAGGGTGAGCACTGCCCTGTTTGTGTGCCAAGGGTGTTGTCTTTTGTGCCCTGTGTGCAGAGGTACCAGATCACAGCAATGCAAAGGGTGAAGCTGTATGTGTGAGACATCTCAAGCTGTAAATACACTACTTGCACAGCTGCTGGCTGCCTGCATCTTTCCCTGCCCATAGATAGGGGCATAAAGGCTCACACTCTAGCCCCTCAGCTTGCCTTCAGGCAGTGCCAAGCAGCTTGCCAGTACCACTGTGGCCCGCTCTGCTCATCTAGCCCTCATGCTGCTGGTCTCTAATTCAAACCACTGTAGTCTGCCAATGGCTAAAATGAAATAGTAAGTCTTTCCCGTTCCACTAGTTCTGTATGTCATTTCCACTCTGATCGTTCTCTTCTCAAAACCAGACTTTGAAATTATTTGGTTATGCTCAACAAAGGGCTGGAAATTTTTGACCCTTGCTTTTGTCCACATGGCACAGAAGTGATCCAGCTGAGTTAGTCCAAGGAGATTAGCTCTGGAGCTGGAAGCAGCCAGCCACATCCGTAATATGCTTCACTAATGTGAATGCTCTCCCTCTGCAACTCAGATCCAGGGCATCATTGCTACACTGTACTGGTATGGAGAGATATACCAGTTCATACAGAGATGGAAGGGAGCCACTACACACTGGATAAAAATGTCAGACACACACAGTCCCTTAGTTTCTGGCCTTGAAAAGCTTGGAGCAGAGACCTTAGAAAGATGTCTGTATACAGGACCTTCAAAAGGATCTCAAGATGCTGTTCTGAATTGAGCCCCAATAAAAATAAATACAACGCATGTAAAATGTTCTTGTGTCTCTAGACAAGCAGGTGTTTCCTGGGCTGCAATTACAGAAGTACACAATGAAAGCTTCACAGCTTGCCTCAATCAATATATCTGAAGTGTTATCCTTCCTGATCAGGTAATGGTGTTCCCATGACTTGCCTCTCTCTCCCTCCCTTCCCTCCTGCAGATCTATAACCTGAAACGTGACCCCATAGTCAGTTTGGAAATCAAGAAGCACCGGAAGATCATAAAGTGTGGGGCAGGAGGACAGCTCAGTTCACTGGGCTCTGAGCAGCCATGCAACCTTGGTAAGGAAGTGCGTAACCCTTGTCATAGATTGAGACTGCTATTGATTAATTGGATAGCAAGACAAACCATCTGGTGGCAGCAAGATTTGGTATTGATGTCCTTTCAGGAGGAAAAGACAGCTCTGAGCTGCAAAAAACAGCTCCAGTGGAGTCCAGGCATTTAACTGCTTACCTGCCAGGGCCTTCCACTGCCAGAGCTTTCATGGGTTGAAATGCAAGCCTGTTCAGAACTGCTGACCTTACCATCAGCAGAACCAGCACTGTCACACATCCCATGTAAGTGGTAGTGCACATTTCTCTGCTGCACTTTCACACTGCACTTAAACTTTGACTTGGCTACAGTGATTTGCATCTCCATTCAAAGCCTGCCACAAGAGAGGCCAGCACGCTGTAGGGATGGGCGATAGTGAGACGTGTTTTTCTGTGAGTAGGTAAATACAATTTATGCTTTTAGTGCTTTAGTGCCAGCGCACTCTCAGGAACTGGACTGAGATCTCATTCAGTTCCCACTAGCTGATGAACAGCTGCCAGCTCAAAATGACTTCTACTTACTGCTGCTCTGACTTTGATTTGAAGCTGAACCTTCAGCAAACCTCTCACTTCCCTCAGCCACTTACAGTTTCTCAGCCTTTTCTGCTGATTTTACTTGATAAGCATGTGTACACCACAGGCAACATCATTTATGTCAGGATATGTAACTCACACATGGGGATGCTTCCATGTTGGGATATTGTGGATTGATTCTGAGCCTTCATAAACAAGCAGTGACTAGGTAAAGCATCCCTGTGGTGTTCACTGGGGAGCAGACTTGTTTGGAACTGGGTCATTCTCATTCCTGTAGCTTGAGTTGTGATGTGACTGGCAAGCACGAGGGTGGAGAGCTGAGCAAATGTTCCTGTGCTGCGTCTGAGTGCTGCAGTTGTTAAGCCCAGCTATAAAACCACAAGATTGCTGTGGACAGGCAAAGAGTATGATAAAACTGCTACAGAACTACTGACCATCACATCCCACCATAACCCCTTACTGATAAAGTGCTTTTGGGCATTGACCTTTAGCTGCAGGTGCATGTGACAGCACATGTAGAAGTGCAAGGAGGGTGCTGTAGGCCAAGGCCTGTGCCTTAATGCCAGCAGAGCTACTTGAGAAGCGCAGAGTCACCTGGGGGGAACAGGGGGTGTCTCTGAAGGATTTTAGCTAAGGTAATTGACAATGAATTATTTCCACTGACTTGGTTTGGCTTTTGGTTTGGCTCCACGCATGCTTCATGACCATTGCAAAAATCATCAATCCTCAGGCAAGCTCCTTTCTTAGGTTGCAGACCTAAGGAAGACCTTGTTATTGTAGCCACTAAGACAGCAGACCCTGACTGCATGAAGGTTTGAGAATTAACTGATCCCTGTAGTGGGAGTGTGAGCCCTATCTCACAACATTATTACAGTATTTAAAGGGTGGCTACAAAGTCTCTGTTTTCAGTGTAGCTCTCTTTCTGTAAGGAGTTACATCGAAAAGACAAGGGGGGATGGGCAGAAGTGAACCGCGGGGGAGATTCTGACTGGGTAGAAAAGGAGAATTTTTCCCAGTGAGAACAACCAGCCATTGGAATAATCTTTTCAGGAAAGTGGTGGATTCCCCGACACTGGACACAGTTAAGATTGGGCTTGGCAGGGTGCTGGGATATCCAGTCTAGGTCATACTTAGTCTAGGAAGATTGGACCAGATGATACCTGAGGTCTCTTCCAAGCTCATATTCTATGATTTGTTATTGACATTCCTAAAACTTTTGTATGAGTCCTGAAAGAAGAACTTGGTGACTGTGTATCCAACAGCAGCTTTGTTGAGATGACCAGGCTGTTCTGCATGTAGCTGTCTGGGTGGCTGCAGAGATGCAATCACATTGTGTTTCTGGTGGGGTATGTCAGCTCAGGCTGTGTTCAGAGCACAGAGCTGCAGTGAGAGGGGACTTGCAGCTGCTCCCAGTCCAAAACATCCCGTATTGCTGCTGCTGCAGGGTATGTCCCCCACCAACTTACTACACGATGGGAAAGGACTGGGCTTGTGCCCAGGTTTGTACTTCCTAATTTTTAGAAGAGATTGCAGAAAATAAGATAAAATAGGAAAAAATCCCATAGTTTATTGTGGAGAGAGCACAAGTATTCTGCAAGCTTTGAACAGCCCAGTGGTGGGAGCTCATCTCAAATGATGTACCCCTAATTTCCTGCTGCATGAGGATCATTTTGCTTTGGAGATGTCTAAGCAGAGTCGAAAGGAAACCAGTGTTCATCCTTGATGTGTTTGTGTCTCAGAAAATGTATTTCAAAGAGTCACTGTCCTGGAAAAGCAAGCACACGTGATCCTTGAACTGTCAGGAGCAATATAGTAAGTGCCTCCAGCGAGCCAGACACATCCTTCACTTGGTGGCCTCATCTTGAACACTAGAGGTAGCTCTTGCACACAAAGAAGCCTCTCCTTTTGAGCGAATCATTATCACAAAGCTGCTGCCTAATGGACAGGCAGATTTATCATGAGGAAAATATGAAACACATTAAGTCCTATGTACACTGGTTCAGAATTACATTTTGGATTATAAAAAGCAGCTGGATTAACAGATTTCTTTGCTTGGAAGAAATTAAATGGACTAGTATCTCCTGTGGCGAAGCAGCAGTTGTCCTTGTCTGACTTCTGAAATGGGGTCACTACTGCTGTCTTGTGATCTCCAGATACATACACATAGGCATGCAGCAGTTCAACAGCTCAAGGTGAGCAATTGCATCTGTGAACATCCCAAACCATATAACAATGCCTGAGGGCCTCAGATCTTCCAGTTACTGGTCTGTGGCCAGGAAGAATTACTTAGAGGGCTGCCAGTTGTTTGGGATAGATATAAAACAAGCATGTGTTGTGCTTTGATCTTTCAGATCAGCCATTGCTTGACAACCTCTGCCAAACCACTTGCCTCCTATTGCCGGGGGTGAGCCTTCAGGGTTCAGAGCCCCCACCTTATGTGGAACTGCTTGATGAGCTCATTGGCACAGATTTCACAGTGACTGGAGTACGTCTCACTGTTCTGGACATGCCACAAGCTCGCTGCATCTCCAAGACACTAAGCAATTCAGGATGGAGTGCTGCAGTACAGGTATGGAACAGCTGGAGTCACGCTTTGCTTCCTTCGGGCAAAACAGGAGCTGTTTAATGCCATGCTGTGCTAGGGGATCCAGCTAGCTTGGAGCAAACTTGCTTTAGTAGCAGTATTAGCACAGCACTGCATGCAAGCTCTAATACCTCTGGTAGGGAATGTGGCAGCATGCCTTGCTAGCTAGTTCCTGGTGTTCCTGTATCTCCACTACCTTGCTGACACCTAACCTTGACATTGTTATGTGTGCCCTAATGTGAACAGCACATCCACGTTAAACATTTTATTCAGTTAACATTTCAGTGTGCAGTTGCTGCTATTATGCATGTGCTGCCACTGTATCCTGTCTTAGTTTTACATATAATATACTTTGTATTTCCCTTTCTCTAATCACACCCCATTAATCCTCTTTTACAATGCTAAATAACCCTTCCATTTTCTGGACTGTGCCCTGGAGTCCTAGGCACAGATTTCATTTTGCTTCCCACTTAGTTGGTGCTGACAGCTTAAGCTGCAGTCCAGAATAAGGTTTGAGCAAGTGTTCACGGGGCTTAAGCATGAGATATGTTACTGGGGCAAGCAGATAGATTGCTTTACATCAGTGTCTCTTTGCGCTTGTGCGGGAGAAGCCCACCATCTCAGGAACCTTTCTAGGGCAAAGCACTAAGGTAGAACATGCAAGAAAGTGTTGTCAACAGCATAGAGTAAACAAGGGGGGAAACTACTTATGCTGGAAGTAGCAATCAACAAAGCGCTGTCAGAGACACACAGCAGTCCCTCAGAAAAAACACAAGTATTGGTGCTTACAGCCTTTCAGTTATGAGTCTTTGGTGTTATCTGTAACAAGAACAGGTAAGATCTTTTCAGGTCATGATTTTTTAAACTGACAGCATGCCTTTGAAGTACATCTGCATAGAACAGCAATTATACCTAACACCCAATTAGTGTAAGCACTTCTTCCTTCTCCTGTGGCTCCCCTAGGATGCCATCCCTCTGCACATGGAAAGGTGCACAGCTCTCTAGGAAGGACAAAGCGAATCAGCATGTGGGAGACAGAGCCATGGCAGCAGCACTGCTCACCTGGCCATGAAACACTTCCTCCTGGCAGAGATAAATTGCTCTGGGCAGAGCTGGAGTGTTTTCATAAGGGTCTGACACTGTTGAGCCAAAGGTGAACATTACAGCATTTGCCTTCCCTTGCCAGGAGGGAGATGGGCTCTGTCAAGTAATAATTGTTTCTGCTACAGTATCTTGACATTGTCTGATATCTCCATATTCTCCATTCCAGACTTACCAACTGAATAACACACCTAAATAACCTGCTTATTTTCACTCTGAGAGAAGGGAACGGGAATAATATTATGCCACAGGAGCAGGGTAACTAACAGTTCAGACATGATACTCTTTTGGATTGAAAGAGTCTGTTGCTCTGTGACTTTCTTCCCCTCACACAGCACATAAGCAGTTATCTGTGCTGTCAGCAGTTTATCAGTGAGGCTTACAGACTCACCTAAGTGGACAGCAACAGCAACACACTGTTCTTCCCTCTTCTTGCAGTGTTCTCTTTTAAAGAATGGTTTGTGTCTGGTGCTGGCAGTACAGCGAGACAATGCAGTCATTTCCTTCAACTCCCTGCTGGACAGGTAAGTGAGGACAATATTGCTTTACCAGCACTGTCTCACCCCCTGCCAGAGAGCCTGTGATCCAAGGGAGGGCAGCTGCTTTTCTTCTCTGTACTTCACTTCCAGTTCAGACTCCCATGAGGTCAGGTGCCTCTCAAAGGCAACATAGCCTTCCTAAGTTGTGTTGTTAATGGGTCAGCACGTTTCCCAGTTTCAAAGCCACGTGTCCTACACTAGGCCCTTAAACACTGAGTTGTGGTGTCTGTGAGGCTTGGGGTCATGGTTCCATGAATACACAGGATTCTCTGAAATAGGGGCTCTCATTGGGAATAAACCTTCTGAATCAATAAAATTCCTAGGAGAAATAGCTTAGCAGATTCTATGTTTGCTATCAAAGAAAAAAAAAAAAAAAAAAACAACAAACCAACCAAACCAAACTTAAAATATGCCAGAGAGCAAAATCAAAAATGAGCCTCTTAAATAAATCACCAGAAATGCTGTGGAGAGGATATATGAGCCTGGTAAAACAAACAGAACCCCTCTGCAGGGACTGATTAGTGAAACGGAATGATTAGCAGGGCAATTAACCCACTACTCCCCAGAGGGAAGGTTTCATTGCACAGGGCTGGTATTTGGCAATGCCATGTGTGTGTGGCTCTTGCACATGTTTTCCTCTGGCAGGGGAAGCCAAGAGAGTCTTTTTTTTTCTGACACAGACGGTGCAGAGCAGTTCAGCAGGGACACTGATAAGATTGTCGTGACCATGGCTGTACCTCCGTTCATCTGGAGGACTTCCAGATAACATTGTTAGTGGGACAGGCATGTGGTATTCAAGGATGTCATGGGTTTACAAGAATTAAGGGGGTCAAATCTGAACCAAGCTGGTTCACAAATCTGATCCAAGCTGGTAGACACACCTTGGAGTTCTTGCAGTTTGTTGAAAAGTCATGGTGCTCAGTCACAAGGCCACACCTTGGAAGAATAGCTGGAACAAATTTCATCAGTAACTTCTCAGAAATGTTTTGAACCCAATGACAAAATTTAGACCTTGCTTCCACTGATTTAAGATCACACCCTGGGGAGCCACATCCCAAATCTTTCACCCTGCAAAGTACAGCACTAAGGAGAAGAAAAGAGCAAGTTATCCAAGATTTTTCTAGTATGTTTTCTCCAGTGGTTCCCTCGTTTACGGGGAAAAAGGGGGCTGTTGGGAAACCCAGAGATCACTGCTGAAGGTAGTTCTGTGAGAGTGGCTGTCAGCAGACCTGACAGAGATCCCCCACCTCTTTGTTTTCCCCAGGCTTTTGTTCATCAGGGTCATGGATGCTGCATAACAAGATAAGCTTCAACACAGTGCTTCCCTCTCTGTAGGCTTAACTTGGTATGTTTTATGATCGTCAGTCTCAAGGCAGCACCCCTAGAGCAAACCTTGTGGTGTCTTCTCACTGCCGTTCACAGGGAGGGATAAGTGCCAGTCTCAGCTGTGTTTTCACCCCTCATCCTGCTCTGTGCCAGGGTGGCTGGCTCTCCAAAGGATAAACTTCCTTGCTGAACTGCAAAGTACATGCGCATAAATTCTGCCTGTTAGGAGGCACTCCCAAGGGGCAGGATCTGCTCTGCCTCTTACCCACAGTGCCACACGTAGTGATCCTGCAGCCATTTCAAACCAGCTGTGCAAAATAATAACTGCCTTTGTGATTGATGATGCTTGTGGAAGGGAGGGTGGTGAGGTGTGCCCAAGGATGGGGAGGAGACAGAGATCCCTCGATAGATCCACCGTAGCCAACAATAAACTCACACCTTTATTGCAGCATAAGCATCATACTGTTTAAAATCAGCTTTGCAAATATCTTTGAAAACCCAGCCTGGCTCCACCAGTGTCTCATAAGGACAATTCATGCTAAGACATCTTCGTTTCAGAATAACATCGGAGGTTAATTACACTTACAGCTCCACCAGCAGGAGCCACAGGACCTTTCTTGTAACGCCTAAATCACTGTATTTATTTCCCTCTTCCTGCCACAGCCCAGGATTCCAGTACCTGCACAGGTTCTGGCCTGCATTTCAGCTGCATTGCTGAAGCACCTCATTTTAAGAGATTATTTTACAGCCCTGGGAGTTGATTCACAGCTGAGCCACATTATTTAGGCTTTGTGCCACAGGGAGAAATGTTGCCATCTGTACGGAAGCCTGTGATATGATGTCAGAGATGGGCTGCGATAAAAAGGAGGAATCAGGTGCTGAGAGGAACAATGTGAGCTTTGCTAGTATAACTGCTCATAGTTCAGAGCTTATTAAAGCTTTCCTAAGCCAGCTCTAGCAGTGGCACCTCGAGGAGACATTCAGTTACTGGAGGATGTGCTGTGCAGAACAGTTGCCTTGAAGACAGACACAGACGCTTATAACTGTGCAGTGATTATTGTGCAGCAGCAGCAGCACCCACTCTGCCTGCTCTCTGGACATCTATGAAGGCATTATTTCTGCACCAAAGAGCAGGAAGAAAAGAGAAAGGGACAACATTGATGCAGGTGGGGGCACAAAAGCAGCCTGTGATTTTGACTGGCTGCCTAGAGTGGAGCTGAAGCAGGAATCTGGGAGAATCTGGGAGGGTGCCAAGGGTAACTCAGAGGGCAGAGTGAAGTGTTTGGAAGAGGTGAGGGGAAGCTGAAGAGAGATGGGGACTGGGGCAGAATCCGAAGAATGAAGTGACACAATCCTATCCACAGGCAAGGAAAAATATGTGAGACTTACCTAGTTTGTTCTGTCAGCATCCAGCTGCCTGGATCTCCAGTATAAAGCATTTGAATTTTCCCTGTCATAACTTGTTTTTACAGCCAGATTTCTGAGCTGCAGGGAAGCAGAAGGAAGAATTTACAAGTAGATTCAAAGCAGCTCCTGGAAGAAAGGCAGACTCTGCTTTTTATGCATGATAAACAAGATTTAGCTGCCTTAATAGGTGATACTGATTTTAATAGCGATTACTGCTGGTTATTTGAGCTTTTAAAAAGTACTTTCAGATGCCCAAAAGATTGTTAGGACCTAACTTATGTTGTGCACGGTCCTTATGAGCTCACCTAGTTAACATTTTACTGAACTCAATGAGCAGTGTTCGACTCCAGCACACCCAAAACTTAGCTGCATCAGAAGAAAACCAGAGAATAGATTCAGCCTTACACCCTTCTGGTTTTAGACAATGTGTGCAATCAGAAGTCAAGTGTTAAGGAACTTAGCTAGATGTTTTTTCTCTGATGAAACATTCTTGCCAAGTGCTAATTGTTGGTAGCAGGGAGTGATGTTGTCCCTATAGGAAGCTCATCTCTGGGAGCTTTGGAGGGGAAGGAGGTGTAGAAGTAAAAAAAAAAGATGAACACACGAGATGTAAAATATTTGAGCTGTTGAAAACCGCTGAAGAGAAAAGTTGCCAAGCACAATACCTGGATATGGGGGCAGGGAGCAGGAACTGATTTCCAAAACCACTCTTGAGAGTTTTCAAGCCTAAGACTTGAGTGTGCACAGAGTCAGGTTAAAGGGCAATTTTGAAATTTGTTCTTGCCTCTTAATTTCTCTTGAATATGCCTTACAGAATCATAGAATCACAGCCTGGTTTGGGTTGGAAAAGATCTTAAGACGATCTAGTTGCAACCCCCTGCCATGGACACCTTACACTAGAGCATGTTGCCCAAAGCTCTGTCCAACCTAGCCTGGAGCACAGCTAGGGATGGAGCATTTAACAGCTCTTTGGGCAACCTGTGCCAGTGCCTCACCACCCTCACAGTAAAGAACTTCTTCTTTATATCTAACTTGAAGTTCTCCTGTTTAAGTTTAAACCCAACACTCCCTATCGCTACAGATCAGCCTGTGTGTGGACCAGAGCAAAAGAAGGACTAGTGAAGCAGACAGTGCTGCTGAAGGCAACTTAGATAGTCCTGGGGTTTGGGAAAAACACACAGATTATCTTTGTTGAGAAGACCATGCTTGCACAGAGCTGACTATCTACGTTTACATATATTTCCCATTGACCCAGAGACCCCATTATGCAACAGGTCATTACTCTTGGTTGAAGGCTTGTATTTTAAGAACCCAAATCCATTTATACAAAGCTTTGTAAAACCTAGGATTTAGCTGTGTAAAGAAGTTCAGTAACAGATGCACACAGCCAGAGCTGCTGGCACAGAGCATAGTCCTCCTCAGAGCTGGGTCATCTGCAGTTTCTGATAGTTTGGATGGCAAAATAACACTGGCTTTCATTTTCCTTTACCTCCAGGGTCAGTTGGCAAAAGCAGTCAGTCCTGGACACTGTGCAGCATCTCCTTTATCCTCAAAATGAGAATCAGGCAAGTAGAGAAGTTTATGGTACAGGTTTGTCTCCTTTGTGTCCCTGTGATGAATGAAAGTTGTCAAAATTGGTTGAAAGTTAGAAGTCTTGGCTTAAACCACAACACACATCTTCACATTACAATGGTGTCACTATTTTGAAACAAAATATTTGGCGATTTTGATAAAGATTCAATATTTTCCATGGGTATCAGTTACTTGTTATGAAAAATCAACACTTAGTAAGGTATCTGTGATATATGTCAATAATTAGTGACACGAATGTTCATTCAGCCCTTTTGGCAAGCTGGCACATGTTCTGTGATTGGGGAGTTCTGTCTCAGCTCATATCCAAATGGAAGAGGAGAAGTTAGGCCATTAACTATTCCAGGGATAGGCTATCTGAATATTTTTTCAGTAGTTCATCCCAAGAAGGGAAATGCTAAGTGGCACGTGGGCAGCTTATGGGAATAAACTGTATAAATACCCTTAAAACTCGGGCTGTTATCATCAAAGTTTAGTGCAAAACAAATGAAAGATTTGGATGGAGGAGGCAGTGCTTGAAGAATTAGGACTAGCAGGTGTAAAAGAACTGGGAAGGATGAGAACAGTAGCAAAGGGACAGGCATCCCCCCTGGATCCCTTTTGCTTCCCCAGAAAAACACAGCAGGAGAGTTCGGTGTGTTTGTAACCTCGTGTAACACATCAGAGCTGCTGCTTCAGTACCAGTGCTCTAAGGACTGAGTCTTAAAAGACACCAAACCCTCTTGGAAGCCTGTGTTCCTGCTTTTAACACAGGCAAAACTGCCCCAAACTTCCCCAAAGTCATACAGCTGCTGTTTGCAGCAGCTTTCCCTGAGGCTTCGTAATGTTCTCCCTGGGTGTAGCTGGGATTGCAGGCACTGGCAGGGAAGGTCTGTGATAGCTGCAAGGCTGTCATCGCATGGTGCTCGCCACTTCCAGAGTGCCAGGCTGTTGCCAAGTGATACGACAGGGCAGCAAGTCCAGGCTGTTTTCTGATTTGCTTTGAAAAGGACATGACATATGTCTGGCTGACATAAAATCCTTTCTGCTTCACAGCTATGGGGAATCAGCCTATCAGAAAGTGGCTTATTGTGCTTTCTGTGATTGATAAGAGGAAAACAAATATGCTCAGCCCTTCTCCCTGCTTCTGGCAGCCTGGGGCATTGAATCAGATCCCTCTGGTGCTGGTAGATGCAGTGGCTACTCACAGCAGCTCAGAGTTTAGACCGTGAGTCTAGTCCTTGAATAGCAGTGGATGCCACGCTCTGCATTGTGGGTTATAAGATGCACAGCAGGAGGTAATGTTTATTTTCAAATAGTCCTTTTGCTCCAAAATTCAGGGTAGGTTTAGAAATGGAGCATCTCTGCTATGAAGAAAACCTGAGAGTGTTGGGGCTGTTCAGCCTGGAGAAGACTCTGTGGAGACCTTTCACTTAGAAGGGGCCTATAAGAAAAATGGGAAAAGACTTTTTAGCAGGGTCTCTTGCAAGAGGATGAGGGGTGATGGTTTTAAACTAAAAGAGGAAGATTCAGGCTGGATGTGGGGAAAATGTCTTTGCAGTGAGGGTGGTAAAATCCTAGCACACATTGTCCACAGAGGTGGTGGATGCCCCATCCCTGGAGACATTCAAGGTTAGGCAGATGTGGTTCTGGGCAACCTGATCGAGTTGAAGATGTCCCTGCTCATTGCATGGGGGTTGGACAGATGACCTTGGAAGGTCCCTTCCAACCCAAACTACTCTATGATTCTATCATCACAAAGCTAGATCTGAGGAGCAAGCTCACCAGGGAATGATTGGACATCAAAGGATGTGCCTAGAAACTGTGTTTGATCCTCTGATCTCTTGCTAATGAGTTTATGAAATGTCAGCCAGGCTTTCCAGGTCAAAGCTAATGAGCAACACCATGATATCAGGCAAAGTTCAGGAGGGTTAAATGAACATGGATTTAAAATCCGCATGGTTTAAGCAGAGCTGCGGCATTTACTGGTGGTGTTGAACCATGGAAGTGGAAAGGAATTTTGTACTTGCTCCCTGTGTGATTTGGACTAGGCAATAGGATGAGAAACCCTCTTTACAAATGTGGACTATTTTAGTGCTCATATCTGTGTCTGGGCTAGTTGTCTGCCTTCTTCTGCAGTCCCTGAGAGAAGCAGCATTTCTACAGCACTTTTCCCCTGGCCTATTTGAAACAGGTGCCTTAGGAGCAGGTGAATCCATGCTTTAGAAGTTCCTTATGCTCATGCAGTGAACCTGCAGATGCCTGCTCCCCATGCAGGCTTCTTTTGGACACATGCAACCCAGTTCATATCTGGAAATGATAAAGCTATATTTTGTTGGGGAGATCATTAGGGGCTCTTGATCTTCCAGTGGACCTCTATAAAGTGGTCCCATATTTCCCTGCACGTGGTCCATACCCAAACTGGAACCTTCCCAGCAATAAGAGCTGTCAGGGAGTGCTGTGCTCAGCCATTGGACTGGGATGTCCTGTGGCTGAATAGTTTCTCCTCACACACACTATGGCTGGGATGAGATTATGAGGCTGGGGTGACCTCTGATCACTGACCTGTGATCATGTTAGCATGTCAAAGCAGGGAGACAGCACAGGCTCAGCACAGCCATTCCTCAGTATGAGCCCACAGATGTGCAATCAAGGTTCCAGAGGCAGGCAGTGCTAATCCCTCTGCTCTGCCTGGAGCCCTGGAGCTGTAGCCAGCAGCCACAAAGGCTGCTCTAGCATCTCCCTCCCTGCAGAAACAGCTGCAACTTGCAACTACACCAGAGCAACACAGGGATAACACATCTCAGTCACCATTGGCATGGTCCTTAGCCTGTCAGCAGCAGGCAGAAGGGCTGGAGTCCTCTAAAAGAGACCTAAAAGCCTATGAGGAGAGGCAGAGTGCTGGCAGGAAGAGGGTCCAAGGGCTGTCAGCACAGCATGCATAATGCTTTAGGGAAAAATGGTGTTCATTAACACAGTCAAGTAACAGACTGGTCCTGAAGCCCTTGTCATTAAGCTGGTCTCCCCATCCATGGAGCAGCCACCTAAGAGCGAGGTTTGGGAAGGAGAGGCAGAGCAGCTGTGGGGGGAGTTAGACTTCCTGCTTGGCACTTTGCATGTTGTTGGTTTTCTTCAGTTCCTTGAAAATGTGAATCTTAAGAACAGCCAAACAGTGGCCATGGCTAGAAGACATTTCCCTGCTGCAGGACACTCAGAGCTGCCTCTAGGCTGGGATTAATTCAACCTGGTAAACATCCTCACTGTGCTGCCTGCCTGCTGCTTGCACAGAAACCTGCCTCTGGAAGAAGTGTCTCACAGAACTTACAGCTCTCCCCCAACCCCTTCCTTCTTTTCTCCCCAGGCTGAAGAGCTGCTCTGTTGCCTTTTTGACTCCCTGACATCTGAGAGCATCCACCAGATTGAATCCCAGGATTGCTAGCCAGGATGGTCCAAGCTTCCAAGCATGGGTGGATGCCGCTGCGGGTATCTGTGCAGATGGACACTCAGGGGACACCCAGCCTCTAAGAGCACTGATGTTTGTTTGTCATTAAAACATAATGTCTGAAGTGTGGTATTAGCATCAGTAAGATAAATGAGAGTGGTGGGAGGCAGGATCAGTGCTCAAGAACAAATCTCTCTGAACCGTAGCTGTGGTTTCTAGTGGAACGTGTTCAGAGGCTTGTATTTGTGTAGCAGGGGTTGGAGCATTCCTGTGGCTGGAAAAACTCAGGAAGTAAAACAAATCCAGAGGCAGGTGCCTGGGACTCCATCTTCCCCAGTCCTCAGAGACATTATGGAGAGACTCCATTTTCTGTTGCTGCTGTGTTCTTTGAATCAAATACAAAAATCCAGTAAAAGAAATTGAAATAGTCTGAGGGAAGGCAGGGTCCCTGAAGAGTTCAGTACCATTGAGTAAGATTAAAAGCTGGACATCTTAATGTACTCTTATCCTCTGCTTCAGCAGCCCTGTTACAGCTGTTCGTACCCAGCCCCAGCTTACTGCCCTCTTGTGGGCACACAACCCTGCCTCTTGTTCTGCCTTCCACAGCCCCCATGGATCCTTGCACAATTCATCCTCTGCCAGGTCCTTTATGTGAGCTATCAAGCAAGGAAGCTAACATTAATACAAAGGTCCTCAGTCCTCCTGGAACCCACTGGTCCACAGCTCCTTTGGGGAAGATTCTTCTCAGCCCAGGAGGCCTCATGTTCCTACCTGCCCTGCTAAGGCAAAGAGTTGGATGTCCACGTGCCTCTGGTTCCAGACATCACACACATAGCAAGAACAGTCCCTGTGTGTTCTCCAGGTGCTGCTAAGGCAGAGCAGCATGCAGCTGGCTGGCCAGCCCACCTCTGAGTGCTGCTAGTGGGGTGAACCACTTCTCTGCACAGCCTTTCCCTGTGTAAGAGCCTGGTATGAGTCCTCCTTCTCCACAGCCCCTAGCTCACACAGTCTGTGAGAATACAACACCTCTGAGATCTCTGTCCCCTTTTGAATGAGGCTGTAAGTGCTCAGTAAGTACAAAAGCTGTCAGAGGTCTGGCCTTGCAAGCTCTGCTTCCTCAGCCAGTAATAGTCCTAACACAGTCTCCTTCTCTAAGCTACCAAACGTCTTAACAGCAAAAGAGCAAAATGCAACAGAGCAAAACAGAAACAGCAAAGAGCTGGGTGAAGAGGAGACATGGACGGGGGCCTGCTTCGTCCTCACACAGTGGTTCAGTGTCAGAGCTTGGAAGTACCTCCAAAGCTCTGCTCCCCAGCATCATTCTACCTGCACAGGCTGTTTGGCCTTTATGGTGGGTCTGAATGTCTCTGAGGAGCAGCTCCAGAAGCATGTGCCTGTGAGGGAAGCAGGCAGCTGCCCTGCTCCCTTGGGAGGACAGGGCCCTGGGGGTCAGCGTGAGGACAAGCCTGCTCTGCTCCTGCAGCTAAGTAGGCCATTTCCTGCACTCCAGGCACATTTCTGTCATGCTTGTAAGCCATGTACAGCTTTGAGACAAATGAGAATTAAAAGGATCCACCCCCAGCACTTGGGGAATTTGATCTGGAAACAGGGCCTGTTGAAATAAAGCACAGTCAGATAGCAGCTGAGAGACAAAGCCTGCAAAGGTATGTGCAAGAAAGGGGCATGCGGGGCCAGCAGCAGCTCTGCACCCACCCAGCCCACCAGTGACCCACCTGGCCCTCAGACCAGTGATAAATGGGATGATGGGGAGCTGGACATAAGGAGGTGATGCTCTGGTGACTGGCAGCAGGCACTGGGGAGGTGACATCCTGGTCAAACACCCCTGGCCCTATCCAGGCTGTCAGCAGGCCAGAGCTCCCTCAGCTTTATGGCAGGAGTTGAGACCATGGCTCATAATTTACCATGGAATAAACCAGGGCCTGGCACAAAACACACCCATACCAGCCCCATTCCTGACAGCCTTGCTGCTGAGGCTTGTTCTCTGTGAGCCTCCATCCGCCAACATGAAGAGACCCATGCCTCAGTTTCCCACCAATGAAGTAGAGGTAACAGCTCTGCCACACCAGACACACCAGTAACATCATCAGAATGGGGCAGCACCCAGATACTTGGAGCATGAGGCTGCTGCAGTGTCTTTGATTCGTATTTTCAAGCCCAGCTAATTAGCCTCAACGTAACAAACAAGCACACCCTGTACAGAGCAGGGGAAAGCAGCATTCTCTGATATTTCCAAAATGCCAGGATTCCATAAATAACCTCACCAGCCTTTCCTCCCGGAGTGCCCCACTCTTCTCCAGAGAGCTGACAACCAAGAGCACCATGGACCCAGCAGAAATCAATCCCATCAACCCTCCAACAGCTCCAGATCAGGCAAAGAAAGCTGTAGCTCACGCCCTGCTCTTCCCCACCACAAGGCAGCCAGATGAGCTAATCAGGGCTGAGGAGCAAATTAATGATTGCTGGAACCAGGAGAAAGGCAGATTTGATCGGAGATTGCCAGCTTTGCAGCTGGCTCCTACTTGCAAACAATTCATTTAGATTATGAAAGCAAGAAATTGAGTACAAAACCCCCTAGATTGTTTGCTTCCTAGAGAAAGAAAAGAAATGGAATTTTAGATTAAGAATTACACATAATAGTATTAAATCCCTACCCTCTTGTGCCTCCCCGCCTGGAAAACCAGAGCTAATCAGAATTGAGCATTGTTCCACTGCCATGTCAGAGCTGCCTCAATGGAGGACAGAAAATACAGTCAGCGGCATTTTGTGTTAATGCCTTCTGGTCCTGCTATAAGGATGAGAGCACCCAAAGCTGATCTCCCAGTCATCCGATATCAAGCTGGGTTCCCTTATCAGCACTGAGCCAGGCGCAGGCACGTGGCTGTGTGAGTCGCAGGTGGAGGAGCTGAAATTTGATGCTCCCCATCACCTTTCTGCTGTGTTAAACAGATTGGAAAACACCTGGAATTGAAACAACCCCTTAACACCAACATGTGCCTTTGATTTAGGCCAGAATAATGCTTTGCACCTTAAAGCTCATCCAGTTCCAACCCCCTGGCACAGGCAGGGACACCTTCCACTAGACCAGGTTGCTCCAAGCCCCGTCCAACCTGGCCTTGAACACTGCCAGGGATGGGGCAGCCACAGCTTCTCTGGGCACCCTGTGCCAGCGCCTCAGCACCCTCACAGGGAAGAGCTTCTGCCTAAGAGCTCATCTCAGTCTTCTCTGTATAAGTTTGCAAACACCATCTATTCACTCCAAAGAAATATATCATTCACCCTAAAAATGATTTCTGCTCCAGCCCTATGCACATGAACCCTGCAGAGCATCGGGGATGTGTCACATCACCACTCAGACTTGCTAGCCTGGAAACCACTGCACAGCAAACAGGATTTACTGCCCTGCCGGTGAACTACATATAAACTGGGCACTGGTTTTCATCTCCACAGGCCCACAGCTGCCTTTGGAAGCAGGAGGAGCTGATAGACCTGCTGGAGCTGTCCCCAGACCAGCCATCCTCACCAGGCTGGATGATCTTAATCCACATACTTCCCATGCTCACAAATTCCCTTGCTCTAGCTGACATAAGCCATAAGTACCTCTCTCTTGGCTGAGAGCTGCCACTGTTGGATTTTCGGGTGTCTTGGCATATAAAGGGCTTGCTGAACCACCATACAAGAGACCTGGGTCATGCCAGAGAGATGAAATGCTTCATGTATTGGTGAGACAGCTGTTTAGGATGAGGACAGGGCAAATCATGCCTGACAAATCTGGTGGCCTTCCATGATGAGGTCATGGAATCGGTGGATAAAGGTAGAGAAACTGATGTCATCTACCTGGACTTGTGCAGTGTTTGACACTGTCCCAAACGACACCCTTGTCTCTAAACTGAAGAGGCATGGATTTGATGGATGGGCCATTCAGTGGATAAGGAATTAGCTAGATAAACAGTAGCAGTCAACACTTGATGTCCAGATGGAGACCGGTGCCAAGTGGTGTCCCTCAGGAGCTGGCATTGGGTCCAGCACTATTTAACATCTTTGTGGGCAACATGGACAGTGGAGTTGAGTACCCTCAGCAAGTGACACCACCACCAACCTGCATGATGCAGTTGACATGCTGGAGGGAAGGGATAGGATCCAGACAGACCTGGACAGACTGGAGAGCTGGGAGCATGCAAACCTCATGGATTTCAACAAGGCCAAGTGCAAGACCCTGCACCTGGGTCATGGCAATCCCCAGTACAAACACAGGCTGGGCAGAGACTGGACTGAAAACAGCCTATGAGGAGGAGAAGGACTTGTGGGCATTGGGTGATGAGAAGCTCCCCATGACCCGGCTTCAGTGAGTGCTTGAGCCCAGAAACCCCCCATGTGCTGGACTGCATCCCCAGAGCCTGAGCAGCAGAGAAGGATCCTCCCCCTTTACTCTGCATGTGCCTCCCCTGTCATCTTCCTGGGGTGGGATCAGGATCCAGGCTCTAGTCCCAGCTCTGTCCCATAAGGCAAGCAGTGGCCTTTCTCCATTCCTTCCTCTCCATCTTCCTGGGGCACCATCTCCCAGGCCTGTCGCAGCAGGAGCCACTGATTAGTTGGTACTTGGCAATTCCCCATGGACAGGGGCTGGAGGAGCACAAAGGGTGATTTGTCTGCAAGGCTGGGAGCTGTGATGAAGCCGGGCTGGGGATGATTCAGATGTGGGTAATTAAACTGGTTGGAACAGTGGATGGCTCAGGCAGAAACACCAGCCCAGAGAGCAAGGAGCTCATGGAACTGCTGCACCTGGGTCATGCAGGAGACCAGCACCAGTAGAGCCTCTTGTGGGCTCAGCTGACCCTGGTGGGACATGATCCAACAGCAATGCCAGTCCCCAAACCAAAGATGCTCTGTTAAGACAGGGCAGAATCTCTGTGTGGACAGTTTCACATGGTCAAGCTGGAGGCTGTTGGTACTGCAAGTGCTCCTGAGGAGCTCAGCAGAGATACTGTAGGCTCAGTCAGTCCCCATCCCTCCATTCCTCCATCCCTCCATCCCTCCATCCCTCCATCCCTCCATCCCTCCATCCCTCCATCCCTCCATCCCTCCATCCCTCCATCCCTCCATCCC